TTAACTATATAACCTGCCAAGACGCAAACTAGCTATATAGGGAGATATTTTCTGCTACTCACTCGATTGATCGCAATGATGTTAGAGGTGGTCACTAATTTTGCGGAGGTTTAATTACTACTTCTCGTTAGCGAACTGTCTAAGTATGATGGATCACAAGGAGCCAGAAGTGAAAACACTTAAAAGAAACTGGTGGTTAATAATATGAATGTTAGCGTTCATGTCCACATCAACCAATATATCGATATGAAATATAAAATAATACACCCAGACACAAGAAGCTAAGTTGTGTTGTTTATAATTAAGTTGTAAATTAAATAATATAACTCTCTTTTTTTAATTTTGTGAATGCATTAAAAACCTAGTTGTTATATAATTAAGCATTTTAGTCAATGTGAGAGGCTTTAGAAAAACCTCGAATATAAATTTACAAATTAATTTGATTAAATGGAAGGAAGTGGAAAATAAATATTTTGGCTGACATATATATATATATATATATCATTAATTCAACATCATCGATCGTGACCTTGGTATTTTAATTTAATTAGCTTATATGTGGATCGGAAGAATAACTTGTTAATAGGAATAATTTCATTTGTGATAGACTATTTTGAAAATAAAACATCATGGAAAATCAAATTAAAAAGAATATAATGTCATATATGTAAAGAACAAAATAAGATTTTACCACATTTATTACACGGTATATGAACGTTGATTGACCAATTCACACATCAAGCCATTTTTATCGACAAATTAACATAATGACGATTGTAGTTGTGAGATTATATTTAAAGCGTATGGTCACTTTTTGTTTTGGGTGGGGAAGGGATATTAAGGAGTACTCATCTTGCCTATGACAATTAAACGTGCAAAAATAGTAAATCTCTTTAGTCTTTTCCAAAATATATGCTATAAAGAATATAATGTACTAAAAATCCTTTCAATGTCGGGCACGTGCATTAATTAGTTCAATGTGATGCTCATTGATGTTTAGACAATATTATATTCAGTAGTAGGATTATTGCGCGTGCCCTCCTGCGTGACGTACCCTCGAAATGTGAATGCTGTAGTCTCTTTTAATTGCAGTTTTAGAGGGACTAAGGTTATTTTTTGTGTCTGTATTTGCAAAGAATATATAAAATAAAAATATTTATAACGTGTAAATAATACTATGTAAGACCTAATTAATTAATATGAGTAGATTAAGATGTTAGTTAAATTAGTTAATATAACTTTTTCCTCCCAAAACGGCCTTATCATGTTCTTTAATTCTTTTCCTTCATCTCTTGTCTAATTATTGTTGAGGTATCAATAAGGTCAATTTAAAATTTTTTTTTATAAATATATAAAATAAATTTTACATATAGGACTAACCCTCAGGCCATAGCCACGAGTACCACGACAGCTGAGAATATTTGACAAAATCTGAATGCTACTTGTAATCACTCCTTTATTTTCAATCTGCCCCAGAACATTAATTAATTAATAATCCTTTATTTCGGCCATGTTTTCTTTTCAAAGTATTCATCACAAAATGAACACACAATAATTGACGCTTCTTTTTTTCGTGCTCTTTACCACATAGTAAGAATAACTTCGTTTAATGTTGCTGGCAACACGTTTATAAAGTGAAATATAAATATTAAGATGTAGAACGTGCGTGCAAGGACTGAGGAGATGAACGTCTCCATTTAATTTCTTTTCTACTTTCCCTCTATTTACTGTTTTTTTTCCCATTGGATTAATTATTGGATTAACATGCACATTTAATATATTACAATAATATTGTTATAATATTTAAGAGAACAGTAAAAGTGATCAATGGGGAAGGTTTTACACGTGAAATTGAAATTGACACTTCATGGATGAGTGAAATTGAAACTACATATATATATGTACACGCACACGTGATCGATCGGGCAGGTTTTTCGGGTTTTCCACAGTGAATGCGCCGCTGTGTTTCGCATTGATTTTTCATATTCTCTTCTCACTTTATAGTCTTTTCACACTCATCGATTGTCACGTGTTTATAAGACTGATATTAACTTTTAAATTAGGTTTTATATTAAAGATCAGAAGAATATATATCGATGATTAGTATGACGTTGTGATGTGTAATATGGTTCGGGAGTATCCACGAGGGCATCAACAGGCCAAGGCCACGAGCACCACGATGGGTAAGAATCTTTGACAAAATCTGAATGCCACTTGTAATCACTCTTTTTTTTAAAGTGTTCATCACAAAATGAAACACACAATAATTGACGCTTCTTTTTTTCGTGCTCTTTACCACATGGCAAGAATAACTTCGTTTAATGTTCCTGACAACACATTTATAAAATGAAATATAAATATTAAAATGGAGAACGTGTGTGTAAAGATTGACTAGAGGAATAATTTTCTCTCTATTTTCTTTCTATTTATTATTTTTTATTGGATTAACATCGAGATTTAATATATTGTAATAATATTAATAGAACACTAAAATTGATCAATCGGGGAGGTTTTACACGTGAAATTGAAATTGAAACTTCAACACGTACCCGTGATCGATCGGCCGGGAAGGTTTTTCGGGTTTTCCACAGTGAATGCGCCGCTATGTTTCCCATTGATTTTTCATATTATCTTCTCACTTTGTACTGTTCACACACTCATCCATTGTCACGTGCTTGTCATCACCACCATGTTTAATTACCACGTCCACCTCTGAATGTAAAATTATACTGCAAACTAAATTTTATATTGAGATTGATTATAGTATAAGAATAAAGTAATACTACCTTTGATCCTTAATATAAGAGTTAATTAACTAATTTGAACATATTAAGGAAACTTGTTAAATTAATTATTTGTAATAAATAAATATTGTTTTTTTTAAAATATCTTTGCTAGTCAAGTGTATTGACTAGAACTATCATTATTACAAAGACTATCTTGAAAAAAAAAAATGAATATGAGAGATTAAGTAGATTGAGATCTTATATTGAAAATTAAAATAAAAGTCAAACAATATCTTACATTAATGATCGGAGGTAGTAAGATTTTTGGATATACTTTTTTTAAGTGTTTATAAATATTTTCACACAAGTCAAGACTAGACTTTTATTACATATATATTTATCTCATATTCTATATATCACAATTAAAAAGCTACTTTTTGAAGACTCTTACCGTAACTCCAAATAAACCCTTGGGGTCTAGATATGCCTCAAATAAAATTATGTTGTGTTCAGCAAGAGAGCACTTGTGTACAATTAAAAACAAAAAAGATAACATGATTTAGTCCGGTTAAAGATCAAATCACACAAACACGGACTCAACAATAATAATAGAAGGTGGGGTAATCAAGAAGTAACAAAATTCCATTTTAAACTATCAATCTTGTCTCACAAAAAAAAATTCGAACTTTGCATTATGGTTCATGCAATTCGGAACGTCCTATATTAATATAGTTAAAACATTGACTTACCCACATGCTTCAGGTCCCACCAAAAAAAAAAACAAAGGCATGGCAAGGTGAGGTGGACAGCAGAGGCTGTTTATCATTGAGTTCTCAAATTTTCCAAAACCAGAAATTGTGATCCACTCTGATGATGCGTGCAATGTTCAAAAGCCCACGTAACTGGTTTATTTCACGAACTCTATTTGGGCTTTCTTGTATTGAGTCCAATGGGCTCAGCCCAATTTCTATTGTTTCATCTCAAGGATTCTTCAAAGCCCCAAACCAAGCCTGAAGTCTCCAGCCAGGGCCTCCCCCACCCCCACTATTTCTCCACGATTTTGTTTTTTCTTTTTGACCTGATCAACAATATGACTCCAACTTGAAGTGGGTCAAAGTGGCCGAGGGACTGTTTTTGGGCGGTCATTCACCTTTGAAAGAGTCATCAAAGATTGTGCCCCAAAAACCAAAAAAAAAAAAAAGGTCATCAAAGATTCTGTTTGCTTTTTCTGGATCCAAAGACATACGCCGTTGAGTTTCTGGAACTCAACTCCTAAACTTTTCTGGTGCCAAAAAAAAAAAAGATAAGAGAACCTCTTTTATATTATTATAAAAAGGTATATTTTTATCATGATTGGATTGGGAAACATGATGATGGAAAAGAAATAAGTGCGTGGAGATTTCTCGATCCAAAAATATATTAAAATAAGAATGCATTTTATCCGTGGAAATTATTTGGGCGGAGTAGTTTGACAGGTCCTTTAAGCTTTGCCATCTCAAAGGGATGTTGGACACGTGTGAACACTGACACGGAAAGCCCATCGGCAACGTCCCTTGCCCATACTTGCCACCTGTCACGTCGTCATTGGATTGAACTTTAAGAATGTCCCCTCCTTTGGCCTTTTCATCATCCTCTTTCCTCATCGCTTTGCAACAGTAGCACATCGACTACATTCATCAGTCCCTTGCAACTTTCTTTCCCGAACAAACGGAATCTTTTCAGTAATTATTTATTTTAAAAAAACAAATATATGTTATGTAGTCACACATAAAGTGATACAGTACTCCTCTCTGTTTGCATGCGGCTGTATACCATGTCGGTGGTTTTGCCTGCACAGTGCATATTTTCGACGTTGTATTTCTTCTTTTCCTGTATTCTAAGGTAAGAAAACTGACAGGAGGCTCCACTGCTTTCAATTCAGATTCCTTAATTGTGAAAGGAAAAGAAAAATCGAGCATGCATGTATACAGAACTTGAAATGAGTCCGTGGCTCCGTATGAACCATTTGTATATATAAATTGAATCAAATTTGTAGTCTTAATTATATTATATATAGAATAGTAATTTATGTCAGTGATCACAGATGACGATAAGAGAAGTTTTTATCATGATAATCATATCTTTTGGCCCAAAAGAGTACCTAGTTAAAGTTTGGAGATGGAATAGCCAATGACAAGACTGATCTGGAGAAAACCGTAGGCAGGCTTCAAATAGGATTATAGTAGAATTTTCTTTTTGGGACCGGAGAATTATAGAAGCATAAAACTATATTTAGAAGGAATAATAGTCATAGTAAACAGTAATCTAGTACTATTTTGTTCATTGTCCCATCGTTGGTCCCTCGGCACCATCTTCGATGTTGCCATTGCCCGTGATGTCCCCTTGCCACGTCCAAACAATGTCTTTCAGCGCCGGCCTCACGTCCTTTTCGCAAAACTTGGCGTATTCCAAAGTGTCGCCGGAACACTTTGAAAACTCGACGACGGCGACTTCCGGCGCCACCTCGGACACCTCCGCCGTCACGTACAACCTCCCTTTCCTCCCCTCCGACTTCCCTTCCATCTTGATTTTGAATTCCTTCACCCTTTCTGCCTTGAAGCCTAACCTCTTCGCCATCGTCTCGATCTTCAACATGATCGTCGTGGCTGAAAACTTGGAAGTGAACATTGACCCGGTCTTCCTCTTGTTCTCGAACAACCCAGACAAATCAAACCCAGAAGACATCGAAGAAATAAACTCGAACGCATTGAAAAACTTGGGGGATGAAAGCTTGCTTCTGGAGTCTTCTTCAACGGCTTTATTCGAAGTGGGTTCTTCTGAATGAAACGCTGATGAGATCGAAAACCCCTTTTCAAACCACGGGACCCGCATTATCGCAGGAATCGTGATTCGACTTTCTGGGTCTGGCACGAGAATCTTGGAAATCAATCGCCTTGATTCCGCAGAAAACCACGGAGGAAATTGGAACTCGGCTTTGAAGATCTTAGTGTACATAGTCATGACGTTTTCATGTCGAAACGGAAGAAACCCAGCCAATAATGTGTAAAGAATCACCCCGCAGGACCAAATATCGGCTTTCGATCCGTCATATCCTTTCTTTCTCAAAACTTCAGGGGCAACATACGCCGGAGTTCCACACTGGGTGTGGAGGAGGCCGTCGTATCGCATGTGTTCCGGCAACGCCGAGAGGCCAAAATCGGAGACTTTTAGATTCCCGCGGTCATCAAGTAACAAATTCTCAGGCTTGAGATCTCTGTGAGAGACACCTCTGCTGTGACAGAAATCGACGGCGCTGATTAATTGTTGGAAGTACTTTCGTGCTTGGTCCTCTTTGAGTTTGCCTCTGGCGACCTTGTAGAAGAGCTCGCCCCCACGAACATACTCCATGACGAAGAAGATCTTAGTTTTGGTGGCCATCACTTCTTTGAGTTCAACAACGTTGGGGTGTTGAACCAAACGCATGACGGAGATCTCTCGCTTGATCTGCTCCATCATCCCTTGTCTCTTCACTTTCTCTTTGCTTATCACTTTGATCGCAACGCTCTCGCCGGTCGATATTTGCTTGCCGTGATAGACTTTAGCGAACGTTCCTTTCCCCAGAGGCCTGCCGATTTCATACCGCCCAAACAGAGTATCACTCTCCTCCATTGATTCTGAAGCTAGCGGTGATGTAACAACCACTTGTTCTTTGTACGGGTTACTGTGGAAACCACATGTTCGTGGAAGTAGGGATCGAAATTTCACTGGGTTTACACAGAAAACACTGTGCTTCCTTTTTTTTTTGGAAGTAGGAGCGAAGGTTATTCTTCACCTTCTTTTTTGTCTTGCGCGGGAAAAACCTACCGGAAGAAGATAAAAATAATAGTTTCCATACGTAAAGCGGAAAACGTCGAATGACAAGTTTGCCGCCGGGTCTTGGATAAAACTCCGTCGAACCATTAGAGGACTTAGGTGGGTTTTTCCCCTTTGGTCCTTTGGATAGAAAAAGAATTTAAAAAGGGAAAATTTTATTTCTGGCCCGAGAGAAATTCCGTGAGGCTATGATTACGCGGGTAGAATTTCTTAGAATCAATGGGCTTTTTTGAATGAGAAAGTTAGGATTCCCTATCTAACTTTCAGTTAAAGACGGTAGAATTATTATTTTGCGGAAAGGGACAGTTAAACCATAATTTTAGCATATACTGTGTTCCGAGGATATGCAAAAGATTGAAGGTACCTTATTCATAAATAGTTTAATTTTGTGAAGGTCTTGTAGAAAAAGAAATTTTGAATTATTGATTCGGTGCGGCCTTCAGTTGTATTGATCTTCATGTTGAGTTTAAGTGCGCATCTTTTTTGTAATTTTATTGGTATTAATTTAAAGAAATCTATAATATGATATTCAATGGATATATGCAGAATCTAGTTGAATGATATAATTTACTGTTTATATTTTTAAAAAAAATAAAAAAATATCCCCTAAAGTCCGACCCCTCGCTGTTCAAGCCGAAGAAGTTTCTAGGATATAAATAAAGCATTTTTTTCAGCAATGGGACAGTAAAAACATAATTCTATTATTCGTGATTGATTTTCTTTGGAATGAATTTTGTAGTATTGGATGGCTAGGCGCAAGCAAGAGGCTTGATTATAGTACCAGTTGTAGTTTTTTTTTTTGGGGGGGGGGGACAAAATCCTGCTTCTAAAACGAAACAGTTGGACTGCTCACCAAGAAAACATTAATAGGTTGCTGCAGGCCTCACATGTTTATGGTCTATTCTTTTCATCCTGACCTTGCAATATCTTTTTTGACATTTGCAATATTTATTGTGATTGCTTGAAATATCTCAACCTATCTAACGGGAATTCGTACCGATAGTAGTTATTAGGGAACGTCGAAGATATCAATGCATGGTCAGTTTCTCTGAAAGGGAATTAATTAGAGTTTGAAGTTCGGACGGAGTTAGGCACGAGTATGGGTTTTGGAGGGAGCCAGTGGATGGGGTGGTCCACATTCCACGATTCGAGCTAGAGGCCAATTAACCAATCACCACCAGAGCTTTGGGTTCTTCAATTTCATTGGATGCTTAAGGAAGTTGCCGATTGTAAAATGCTAAAGCTGCAAAAATATTATGAGTAGCTAGGTAAGGGACATGATAACGTGTTTCAGAAGTAATTTCACTCCTCTGAAGGATCTAAATCGGCATTGAGAGAGATGGCAGTTTCCGGGTGATGGCTTTCGTGAACAAGTATGAAATATCGTTATTGTGCAACATTCCCAAGAAGAATGTTGTGTCCTGATCGATAGATATTTAATTTGGTGTTAAAAAATGCCTGATATAATAACATGTGTGCTTAGATGACGTGCTTATACTGTTTGACAGTACTATACTATACATTTTAATTGAAAATGGCGCCTCAATTGAACTTCCACACTGCCTCCCTTTCTCTGTCATATATACAGAATGTACTTACTGAGTGGTTGACCTAATTATATTGCAGTTTAGAGTGTGGTTCAGCAAGAAACCATGGCGGATTTATACAACAGACTTGTTAGGATAACTAGTTCTTTTCCCTTTTAAAATTCATATGTGGCGATTTCTGCTGTCACTTGACACTTCCATGTTGCACAGTTATTATATGGATTTGGTGGCAAAAGCATTTAATCAGAAGGTTTGCTTGTGAGACTTGCAAAGTCTCCGTTCCAAGATGAGGTTAACTCGATGATTTTTATTTGCCAGGTCGAAATTTTTTCAAGAGCTGCTGACAAGACCATGAAATGGTGCACTTGTGTGACCTTGAAATGTTTGGAATTAATTAAGGAGCTTCCTTCTCATCTGGAGGTTTTGGGTGCTGTCAAAAGCCTTCTGCCACTTTGTGTGGCTACTTGATGTTGCTGCTGGATATCTATTAATAATCTATATAACAGGAAAATGTTAATCAGGGAATGTAATTCGCCCATTAATCGTTTAATTAGGCAGAGAAAAATCAAAATAAAAGATCACGCAGGGTAATAGCTTGATTCTTCTAATTGGTTGGTTAGTCATGTTAATTAGGCACATAATACATAGTAGTTTCAGACTTTCAGACTATCACGTTGGCTAAAAAAAAAAAAAATTTCAGCCTTTCAGGACTATGGACCTCCTTCAAGGCAATCACTTTTAGCGTGTTCCCTGTTCCTGGGTGAACTACATACGAAGACAGCTTAAATCTTAACTACGTGATGCATAATAAGATGCCTGCCTCCTCGTGTTCCTGGCCCGTAGATTGTGAGAGGAAGTTAGCCGATGTACATGATTATTCCATATTTCCAGTTGTAATGACCAAATTAAAACAACAAATTAAATAATTAAAGCAAAACTTTGTTTGAACGAACTGCTATTGTTTCTCCCTTCGCACCTCTCCCTTCCAACATTTTCATCGATCAGTGTGTAGTTTTTCATCTTCTCGCGATCTTCATCAATCTGCATCAACTAAATTCTCTTCGATCAATATGTCCTTCATTCCTAACCAACTACGTACACAGGATCCACATCCAATAATCAGGCATTAGCGACAATTTATTGTTAGTAATTAGCAATATCGCAACGTATTAACTACTAAATTCTAGTTATATCTCTTCTTAGATTTACAAGCAGTACGGATGCATGCCTTTGCTATTGAAACATCCAGGTCCAGCCTTTGCTATTGAATACATGCCTTTTGTAACTTCTTTACTATTATGAGTAATATAAAAGCGGAGCCGCAGAAGCAACAGTCCAAGAGCAAAATATTAATGTTACATATAATAGGATCACTTCAATTACGATTCTCAGAAATATGTCAGAACAGGAAAACTGCTTTGCTCGCCCGGCTCGACCATTCGTTTGCGCTCGCTTTCCTCTTTGGTCACCGCGACTTTGCCGCTTTTCACACTCTTTACTGTTCAATAATTGAGCTCGAATATTTTGTTACCTGGAATGGAATGACAGTGGATTGGAATTAAATAAGGAAGGAATTGGGAGGAAGAGAAGCTATCAGACAAAGAGAAAGAAGAGAGGTAAGAGGAAAAGATGTAGCAAAAACATGTCCTTCTCAGTGCACGTCAAGCTAAGCATGTTTGTGGCAGCTACATTAGCCTACTATCACACCCAGTTACTGTTAAATCGTCTTTTGCACGTCCCAAATGGCAACTACCAAATCTACATTATTTATAATTTAATTTTATTGTCTACCGGCTAAAAGCTTCACTTAATAGAAAAAGAAGAACCAGATACTCAATCACGATAATTTTAACATCGCAAGATTGCAAATTTATATATTATGCATATATCAATGCGGAGAGACAATTATAAGGTTAAATCAAGGCTTCATAGATGGAAGCCTTAATTAACTGGAATACTTAAAGTTGCATTTGCCTCTTTCTTTCATATGCATTGACCCCAAAATATAAGCACCGTCAAGTCACAAGCCAACAAGACCATATATAGATATACCTCATAAATTTAAAAAAAAAAAAATCAAATCTTGTTGCCCCGATCGACGCTATACGTCATGCACATTTGACAAGAACAATTATTCTGGTTCACAATTGATGTATTATAAGTTCAAGCTATTGTCGCAGATCCGAGCAAGCTGCATTACTCATACTATAATGAAACATAAAGCAACAGGAGGGGGGCTGTGCATGTATCAGAAATATCCAGCTATTTAACAGACAACGAAAAGCAAAGTCATAAAACGTAGTGGTCCAAATATAAACAATGGTGGGTGTTTCTTGCTTTAATCTCAATGAATATACCGGTATCCATTGAGAAATTGGGTGCAGCATAAAAACAAGTTCAATGTGATCTTGCTAGTATAACCAACGACAAGTACGGATTACATTCCAACGGTTGGTAAACCAATGCAGAAAAAATTGAGTTAAGAAGGAAAAAGGAAAGCAGGACAAAATAAAAAAACAAATCTCCCTGGAGCAATCCAGCCTATGCATATCTGTAAATCTCTTGGAAAAATATGGCAGAATCTCTGCAGGATCACCTAATTCATATATAGAACATTAAAAACACCATAATTAATAATCTCGATGTCCTCCATGAAGAATCGTAATTTTTCTAGGCAAGAATAAATAATTATCACTCCTTAGAAAAAGAAAAATATTAAAATCAATATAATAAAGAAAGACTGATCCATGAAATATTATCTTCTTCAATGAGTGGTGGAGATTGCTGGCAATATACTAATTCAAGATACAATACATATTAACTTTCAAACTTTTTTAGCACTTTTAATATGGAAAGAGAGATTTATATAATTTCTAAACAATCATCACTAAAGCAAAATAAATAAGAGTTGCAATTTATTTTACATTCGTTTATTCAAGTTAACAGGCATGTCTATTGTATCATTCAATGGACGTCATTTTATAATATTTTATAGACCATTTTTGTTAAAATTTAACAGTTAAATCCATTTCAAATTAACAAACACATATAACAGCTAATTCTAGCTAACCGACATAATAACTATCATATTCGGCCTTAATTATCCAATCCAATGTGAGCGAGCACAACCTCACATGTATATTATTACAAATTATAGAAGCCTAATATTGTCTATAACCTTAAAACAAGGCAGATCATTTTATTCAACCACAGAACATTAAAGTCCGTAATTATCTCGAGCTCCTAGCTCAACCCAATAGATTAATTTTCCTAGGCCATCACCCTTTGGGGTCACATTGCATAATCCCCACAAAATATTACATCAATTTTCTATTAAAAAAAAAAAGAAAGATATACAGTGTCAGGAGCAAGATCAGAATATTAGCAGGCGGGGAACGAAATGATGCTCAGCAACACATAATTTAGTACACTCTCAACCCAAGCAAGTAGGTTGCTAGTGTTTATCTGCCAATGGTAAATACATACTCCTGAAATAAATATGTTCAGATATGAAGCAGAAGGCAGAATCTAGCCATGACTCAGGTGAGAACAAACAGCAAACCAACTGCATCGCATGCGCAGCAATTATTTTAAAAAAAAATGTGCGTGGAAGAAAACGATAATGAGGATGATGACGATGATGCCTGCAAAGCATCGGTAAGATAAAATTGTGAGGACCATACTATAACGTGAAATGGTCCCAAGCTATGCGCTAATTTGGCTGCTTAATCTGCACAGGGCTACTCGGGTATCTTCTGCAGGGAGAACCATCAAAAGTCACGCTTTAAGGTTACGAAATCTAAATATAATTAAAGTCCCAAATAGTAAAAAAAACAAATTAGTGAGTAGAAAAAGGGAAAGAAAACAACCACCAACTGCTTTACACTGTTGGATAATGATAACCTCCTCATTCTCATTTCTCACCAATGATCTTTCATGCTTTCAGCTGAGGATCCATCCAATTGCTAAGAAAGGATACATAATGAGGAAAGAATCAAACCGAGAAGGATTCAGAAACCAGAAATAGCAGTGAGACTCATTTCCAGCACTGGAAGCTGACAGAAAGAGAATGAGCACGCAAAAGCATCAGTATGAAACAATACCGAGTGCCTCTGTGTGCTCACTCTCTTCTGTCAATTTCTATGTCATATGAAATAAGCTATAGGAGTCGAGATCAGGAAAATACGAAGGCCTGCCCAAATAAGGAAACGCCGAGGGAAAAACGAGTGCTCTTGAAAAATCGATGGAAAGACACTTATAATTGAATCAGATCTGAGGAAAGGAGGCCGGGAAAAACCAAAAAGAACAAATGCGAAAAATAATTGGAACAAGAAAAATAGGCAAATCTAGGATCTCTCGCTTACTTCAAATAATACCTAGAGCAAGAGCTTATTTGAAAATTTTAGGGTTTTTCACTATACAACCGGAAAGAAAACAGATACCAACGAAATCGGCCGGAGAAGGAGCATGAGAAGAAAAAGGAGAGTCTAGTAGAAGGAGGGGCCAGGAGAAAAAGGATATGAAAGATTCAACCCCCAAAATCAGTTGAAAATCATGTTTCGATGCTTTCTTTCCGTTTCTTTCTCGCCTTTTCCCCATTCAGCGTGGTTTTCTTCCATCTATCCCGTAAACTCATGCAACACGTAGCCAGATTCTCTGACCTGATGAACCATTATCAGAATCAATTGTACTGAGCCAAAACGGCGAGAAAAATCACGATTGCTCAGAGAAGGCACATTCAGTAGCAGATCGAGGCAGGCTTCCAGCGTGAAAGAGGGCGTTAAGAGCTGGTACTCTGTCCACTGAGAAACGGGAAGCAGCCATGAGAGGGCTCAATGGCTCATTGACACCTAGCAACTAAATTTATCATTATCACGACCAGGCCTCCATCCTCTCTCTCTCTCTCTCTCTCTCTCTCTCTCCCCCCCCCCTTCCCCCCACCTCTCGATTTGATCTTTTGGGGAAGGCAAAGAGAACACGAAGCTTTTTCGAGAGGGAGCGAATGGGCTGTGCTTTGCTGTGGAGGGCACAACGACGGGGTACGGCTTTGTGAGGGTGATAGCCGTTGATATGACAGATCAGCGGAACCAACAAATCCCCTCCACGTGATTGGCCATAATGTGGGGTCATAGTACTGTGGCTTGATGAGACTGCGTCTGCGTCATTTCAGGAGACAACGATTGGGTTATTCAGATGATAATGAGCATTCGTACTGTAACGCATCCCCCAAACCTCCCTAATGGATCTCCTCCAGCTACTTTTTCTGATGACTTCCTTAACAATCCTTATATTCTCATCTTCGTAATTTTCTTTTTTTTGCAATTAGTATTTTGACCATATTTTTACAATTAAAAAAAATTAAACACATCCCTGTATTTCAAAAGGTTTATAAGATTTTTTTTTTATAAGAAAAAAGTTTAGGTGGGAAGTTTGACAGAAATTAAAGGGAAAAGTTTATATAATCTTTAGTGAAATATTGTAATACTTTAAATGTTTTGGTTTAAAACTACTTGATAAATTGTTTTTGCCAACACAAAACTTAATGAATTCTGATCATTACAAGATTATTTCATTTCACATATTATATGGTTATTGTTTTGGCGGTGTAAGATCAAGAAAAATTAATTGCAAATCACATTTACATGGAAAATTAAGCAAGTCAATTATTCCATTATATGCATGTTGTACCCAAATTACAAACAGATGATACATTTTTAAGTGAGTTGAGCTTTGAGGCTCATCTGTACGTAATGAGATTTAAATTCATAACTTCTTTTATTTATGAATTGACTTATTACCGATCGAACCAAAATTTTTTTTGACGCAAACAAATGATATTAAAGTTGTTGGCTATTCCGGACTTGATGAGTTCCAACCCAAAAAGAAAAACATTTATAGGATTATATTACTTTTAATCCTTAATATAAGACCTTATTTGATTTTTTTTTAATTATAAATATAAGATTTCATTATACTTTGTCTCTCACATTTATTTTTTATTTTAAGATAGTCTTTATAATAATAGTAACTCTAACCAATAAACTTGATTAGCAAAGATATTTTAGAAAAGACAACACCTATTTATTATAAATAACTAACTTAACTTATTTTCTTAATCTACTTAAATTAGTCAAGTAGTTCTTATATTTAGGACCAAAGGTAATATATATGTTTGAGGATTAATTAATTTAACTAATTTTTTTAATCTACTCAAATTAGTCAACTAATTCTTATATTAAAGACCGAAGATAGTATATATATTTGTCTATTTGAGGGTTATTTTGCGAGAAAAACTCTTAATTAAGCTGCGTACGTATATTGATTAGGGTGAAAGGAGTCGTGAAGGCAATCCTACCATCGTGATCACATTAGATTGCTTTTAATTAGTTTTAAAACTCTATTGGTTGTCAATGCTAAATACTACTATTGTGATGCCTAAAAAAAAATTTTTAAGTTTAAAAACTAAAAAGAGACTAGTGGTCAGGTTTTTTTTTTTGTTTATTCATCATTATGGCAGTATTTGGTGTTAAATAAAAGTATTTTTCATTAAATCGAAAAAACTCTCCACATATTAACTTCATATATGTAAAATTACTTTTAAAATTATTGTTTGGTTTTCATTCAAATAACCATATAGGGAAAGGGACTCTTCGCTCCCTCTGCTTGTGTCCCTATTTTTATCTTCACTCATCACTCTGGTTCTAGACAACCAATATCCGATCATGTCATTAGTTTATTTCAAGTTTTTAATCTTACTTTTTACTTTTTAACCATAATTAACTAACTTTGATAAATATACTTTTGAAGTGAAAAAAAAACTATCCCAACAATTAAAATTTTCTCAAAACCAAAGAACTCTTAAGTGAAAATCAAATATATCCATTGTCGGTGTATATATATTCCTATGTGCTTTTCTTAAGATAGGAGAAAAATTAGTGCAGTGATGGATGAGATGGTGGAGGGAAATACGAGTTTATTTAAAAAAAAAAAAAAAACAGTGTACTAGAAGTTAAAAAAGTACATAAGGACCTGTTCCCAAAAAAAAAAAGAAGGACAAATGATCTTTGGACCACTCCGCCGCTCAGACTCAACATGCCATGAATGGGGGCCCAGCTCTGCTTTAAGAATTTTATTTCTTCGTTGAAATCTCTCAAACATTTTTTTCCCAATTAAGGGGTGATCCAACCTTTAACCTCTTGCTTACTATAAAATTTTCATGTTATTAAACTATACCAAAACCTTATTGACTAATTTAAATTAATTAAAAAAATTAATTAAGTTAGTTATTTATAATAAATAAGTATTGTCTTCTTAAAATATTTTTGGTATTTAAGTGTATTAGTTACAATTAATATTATCACAAAGGCTATCTTAAAAAAATAGATAAATATAATAGACAGAATAAATTAAATTTTATATTTAGAATCAAAATAAAAGTCAATCAAGCTCTCATATTTAAAACAGGAGGTAGTAATATTCTCCTATTATTTTTCAGTTACATTCAACATCATAATCTTATTCTAATATACTCAGCACCTGTTTTTATTTTGCTGACACTTTCAACGTTATAATTTTATTTATACTATACTACTCTCTCCGTTTCTTATTATAAGAGACATTTGATGTTCATGGCATGTTCCCATATATAAAGACACTTAAAAGTTATCTCTACTTTTTTGTATTGATTTCCTATTTTACCCCTATTTATTTTGTCTCCAACTCATACTCTCCTCCCTCCCACTTCTCTTTCTTTTAATAATTTAATTGTTCTCTCTCCTTATTAATGGGGCATTGTTGAAAAAACATTATATTTTTTACACATTAATTGTCCTCAACTAATTTTAACTATTTTTAATCAATATAATTTAGTTATTTATCTCTTATAATAAGGAACGGAAGGAATAATCAACATCCTGAACAATAAACAGAAGTATAGCGCCAGATATAATTGGAGAATCAGATGAAGGATGCCAAAAAAACACTAATTTAATTAGGAGGGTGGAGTGCGCGCTCCATAGTCCGTAACTCCGTATCACCGTGCATATAAATATTCAATTGCGTGGTCCTTCAGTTATAAACACACAGTCACACACACGTGCTTTTTTTGTTTTTTGTTTTCCCTTTACGAGGACTGATTTGATTTTTAATTTAATTTTAAATATAAATTTTAATTTATTTTATCCTTTATATTTACTTATTATAATAGCTATACATATTAAAAGTTCTATTAAATAATAGTTTTAGTTAATACATATTACTAGTAGAATATTCTGAAAAAAATAATACATATTTATTACAAATAACTAACTTAATAAATTTTTTTAATATACTTAAATTAGCTAACTAAATTTTATAGTAAAAATGGAGAAAATATATATAGCTAGTATATGCTCCTCTAATCTTCAATATAAAATTTATTTTATAATATAATTTGTACTATAAAATAGATCTTATATCTAGGTTTCATATAGCGGAAAAGTATATAGTGTTTTAAACACACTTACTGGCAGGCTGGTACTTCAAGTAGCGAGATTGATTATATCGTCAAATCAAATATGAATAAATTATAAGTTTAATTGGCGTGAAGTATTGAAAATAAGGAATAGGGATTCAGATTACAGTTATAAAATTTATTAAAAAAATCTTTAATATAAGTAATTGTTTGTTTTATAGAATTAGGTAAATCCATAGAGTTATGATTGAGAAATACCACTTTTTCTATAGTATTCTTTAATCCCACATACATGGATTTGTCTAATCTCATGAAATAGGTAATCTGTCATGCTAAACACTCTTTTAATAGATTTTTTTAATCTCAAATTAATTTTTATCTTTCATATTTAATCACTTTGTACCAAACGATACTGTAGTGTTTTCAAGGCAGCTGTCTCCGTCCCAAATCAGTGGAATCAAATATCGCCAATATACAAGCATACTCTTGTAACTCTATTTATAAGAAATTTTTATTTATGATTATAATGTTAAATTTTTATTTTCTTTAAAAATAAAAATATATTAAATTAAATTAAAATGTTGTCGAAAAAATATGAATAAAGTTGAAAATTTGATTCAAAGGCTACTTTCATGATTGTCCCTAGTGTTATCCATGAGAATATTAGGTTTTTTCTATGTTCTTTTGCTTCCTTCTCATGTAGAGTAGAAAATGTTAGTTACTTTGATAGGTTTAGAGAAGTTTTTATTTTCCCTCACTTTATTGGAACTTTGTAATTATTGTTATTGCCTTAATATCATTTTTCCTTCTAATTAAAAAAGATAGAACTAATTTATTTATTTTCATAAGATCCCATTAAAAAAAAAATTTATTTTGAAAAATACCCTTATTAATAGAGGCACTCATGGATTAATCAATTACAAAATGGGGAGAGAGAGAGAGAGAGATGGTTCAGCTACTTCATCAAAAGGTATTTTCCGCAAGATAATGTAAATTATTGACAACAAAATGATTGAATTTCTTAATCCCAAGAAGCAAAAAAAATAAAATGATCCCATAATTACAAACAACAGAGAAATATCTTTTAACAAAACCTTGTTAGAAGGATCGTTTCTGGTAATTTTGATAGATCATTTTCAATCTCCCCACAAAAGTTACGAAAAGGAATTATTGCACTTCCCAATCTTAAACAAACAACTAAATCACACCTATAACATAAATGTTTTAATTAACGCCGGGGACAATGAGAAGTCGTTTAATTTCCTATATTTAGATCTCAACTGCCATTTATCTCTTATAAAGAGCTGGAGTAGTTTATACTCCAATCAACCCAAACATCCCTTTTTAATTAATGCAGGTGCAATAAAATTAACTCTACCATAAATTAATCCCCAGGCAATTTTTCAGGAAAAATAACACAAATGCTCTCATTAATTACATAAAAGTTACGCACATGTTATTCCATAAAGGGATTGCGATTGTCGATTTAATTCCTAAAATAATCACTCAATTAATTATTACGTGCCTCGATCTGAAGGGATATGATATCATCACAGATTAATATAATTGACGTACGTAGAATGATGTGGTAGGGAGACTGCCTAATTCAAGTTGTTTGAGAAAAAATTAATGGAATGCGCATGCAACTCTAACTGCTCCTTTAATCATCAAGATTCGTGTCGCCTCCATAATGCTACAAATTTATTAATACTACAAAAGCTACCTAATTTCAACATGCCGATTTATACACAATGCGTAAGGCCTGGAGGCGCAAATTCAATTAATATTGTCTGGTGGCACCAAGTCCCACATCGTTTTTTTGTCCCCCTTGCTTTTAGGACAAAAACCCTTTTAATTAATTTGCATGATCACGTCACACAGATTCGTTTCATATGATATGATCTAACCATTTTCAAGCGAAGAAGCACATGACGCCTTGCAAACGAACCAAAAGTAAGGGAGATGAACTTCTGACATTCAATTTTATGATGAGCAAGTAGTGAGAGCGGATTGGATTCGAGGGTCCCCACGTAACCTGGTGAATGGAACTGATGGAACAGGAGGATTTGAATAGTAGTATATTATAATTAGAAGGAAACTGATTTACACGCTGGTTTTTTTTTTTTTACTACGTACAAGTTTTGTACCAGAAGCAATTCTTTTGAGATACTATAAGGTAGTAACGTAAGCACATCTTTCAATAGAGATCCGAATCTTGACTTATCATGTTGTGAGAAACCAATCTTTTTCACTAAATTTAGTCCCTAGGCGTTTTTTTTTTTGTCCAAAAAAATTTAGGTGAACTAAGTCGCGAAAGTTCACTAAAATCAGGACATATCTCTGAGCTTAAAGACAAATCACCTATTAACAAAATTTTCACATCAGTAGCGAAGTGCAAACTTATAACCTTGTGAGTTATGAATCGGCTCATTTCCGACTGGACCAACTCTTGTTGGCCCTATGCACTTTTTTTTTTTAAAACTAAAGCTTAGGTATTTTCTAATTGGAAGTAATCATATTCGATGTACTGTTAGGCACTAAATGTGGACACTCCTCTCAACATAAATTCAAATATTAATTTATCATGTTTTGAGAAACTAGTCTTTTTATTAGACCCAACTCCTTTAGGTCCTACACGCTACAAGTTAAATACGGAGGAGGTTGGATGCTGCTTCCTCCTGATTTAGCAAGCCCAGACAAAACAAGCACCATTAAGCCTCCGCGTACCCTGGGCCCTAGCCAACAAAAAAACAGGCGGGGGCGGTCAGCTGTGGGGCGTCTTCTCTTTACTTTCCCCAGCCCGGAGTAATTTTTTATTCCTATTGTTTTAACATTTTGGCATCCAATACAGTTTTCACATTCACTAAAAAAAATATTTGGATTAAATCAAGATTATGATTTTAAAAGTATTTTTATGATATATAAAATAAATATGTGAAAAAATTTGTCTCATTTTATTAAAAAAAAAAGTTTTTAAAAATTTTTTTACATGTTCCCAAACACCTCCTAAATCCTCAGCTCTTATTCAGTCACTCACCTTAGCCTAGATCACGATTTCCATTATTATTACTCTTATGTCCGAACCACCATCATTACTTGTATCTTAAATGCGTGCGTTAAGATTCTTTAAATTATCCTGCAATATAATTTGTAACTAGATTCGAATCTACATCATTTCAGCAAGAACATTAAACCGATTAACGCTGCACAGTCGAGAAATACGACGACAGATTTGCTGTGAAAGCATTCTTTTAATGGTTGCTATTGAATTGTTTTCTGCTGTAGCCTCCAAAATAAACATCCATCTAGGAAAAAACTGAAAAAAGGGGGGGAAAAATAAATAGATACTAAGCCCCTTCTACCACTATACTAGACTAACTATGGATAACAATTCTAGCAGCAATGTGGGGTATTACCATAACGATGGACAGATACCTAACACAGGGCCTAATTGCACTAGAGGGATCCGACAAGAACTCCAAAATGCTGTAAAAGAAGATTACATTGCTAAGCAGAAGACAAGCAGGCGGGCTATGAGGGATACACAGTAAGTAAAGACTCTCCTCTAGCCTCTTCGACGCTTCTTTCCAGACCTGCCCTCACTTCCTTGCGCCTTTGAGGAACTTGCTGACTTGACCTTAATATCCTCTACCTCTTCGGTTGAGTCACCCGAGTTCTCTTTCTCTGAATCTTTTGCCTTCAATGAACCGGACTTCATCTTTCCACTGCCATTAATATTTGACCGAGCACCACTTTTAGAAGTTTTGCCCTTTGAGGCAGAAACGGTGCTTGTTTCTTGCTTGGACTTTCCTGTCTTCGGAGTTGCTTGCTTAGGCTTCCCAGAAAGTTTTGAGGCACTAACTTCGTCGTCCTTTGATTTGCTCTTTTTGTTGCTAGTATCTGTGTTTTTTGATTTGATAGAAGTCTTGGTCGCAGTTTCCGCAGATTTACTGCTACCACTCTTGGGAGTACTGTCCTTGGATTTTTTAGCAACTTCCTCATCAGACTTGGAAATTTTGGATTTGCTATCAACTTTGCTGCCACCCTTGGACTTGCCGCCAGATTTTGTGGATGCACCCTTCGATTTACCAGATTTGGCTCCACCACTAGAAATCAAGGTTCAAATTCAGATATCATCATTCATCTACAGATCGGAAAGAAATTGATTTATGATAGTCACAAACCTTTTAGAAGAAGAATCCACCTTTGAACGCTGAATTGAGTCACTTGCCTTCCCTTTCTTTTTTGGGGGCCTAATTTTAATACAAGATCAAAGAATGAGAATGAATAAGAAAACACAACTAAAAATGAGCGCGAAAGCATCATGCTTGCCACAAAGCATCCAGAAGAAACATATACAGCCATATTTATAAGACATCTAATTAGCTTATTATCACCATAGAGTAACAAGATATCATAGCAGTGTACAGCAACCACCAGAATTGAAGATACATTGACCATCAAGTTTGTTTTTTTGGCCAACGATCAAGTATAAAAGGAAATGATTTCTGCAGTTTACAGAATCACATCACATACATAGCAGAACATCTTTACTTTTACTTGGGCGGAGGAACATAATATTAATGTAATCTTTTCATATGCAACAGCACATTATCATCAAGATAAGCTCCCACGTAAAATGACTTGTTCTGATAAAGGCCATCAGTTGACTATACACACACACACACACACATGCACACTAAATTGTTAACTCAGTCGACCCTGGTATCTGGCTGCTACCCTCAGACTAGTCAATTAAAGCTATATTGTCAAAATGTAAAATTTGACATTTTCCATCCAGAAACCCAAACAAAATAACCAACCAAATATAGGACGCTGGTCAGTGCACTGACATAAAGAGGTCATCACATCAATACACAGAAGACCAAAAGAAATTACAAAGCTGTAACCAACAAATTTAATAATAAATGATAAAACCAGCAAGACATACGTATTAGGGGAAGCATCAGGACTTGATCGACCACTTCCTTCTTCCTGTTAACAGAAGCAATTCATATCAACTTAGACATTAAAAAGTTTAGACTATATTAGAAAAATAAACACAAAGCAGATACACACCTTATTAGAACCAGGTTCATCTTTAAGAAGCTGCCATGTCTCCTTCTCAAGATTTAATATTTCTTCATCACCATCATCATACATAACCTACAATCATGTCAGAATACAGTGAGCATATACAAGTACACTAGCGAGATTGAAAACTAATTCTTTTGGTAAAAGAATTAAGCCATCAAGATCTTTCCATTGGCAGCCTAGAGACGAAGTCTACTGGTCAATTGGAAATGGATGAAAAAAGGGCATGAAATTTCTAGCCTGGAGAGCTTTCTCTCTCTCCCCCCCCCCCATGTTATCATTTCTTGTTCTTTTCTTTTTTCTTTTTCTTTTTTGGGTTGGGCAGGGGGCAGTGCTGAGAGATGATTACAAATGCCAAATCACCTTGTGCTTCTTTTTGGAAGGATCAAAAGAATCAATAACACCTTTATAATACCTGCAAAAAATTATGGTGTGTTAAAGACGAGGGAAAAACAATTGTACTCCACAATAAACAAAATACGCATCATGAGAATAACAGAATATGCATATGTTTGAACAAGAATGCCTCGGAAAAATGCAGACACTAACTCAATTCAAGGGCCACAGGAGATGATAGATTATACAAAAAAGTTAACAAAACTAACACTCATTACCTATAGAACTCGAAACATACACATAACGTAATGAAAAAAATGGCAAAATAGATGCACAAGATAACATTATTTTAGATTGAAGATCTAAGAAAAGGTGATCTAGTGACCTAGCAAACCCAACTGAGTAATCAGAAAATAAAGATAACAAGCTAATCCAAACCAGCACATACGACTCCATGCTTAACCAAAATTTCCAGTGACAGCATTTAAAACAGCAGGAACTTACGCACGATCATGTGGCCAATAAACTTTAACCCGTGAACCAACAAGAGCTTCACCGCGTTCGATGATATCAGATTCCTGTAAACCAGTTGATCAGACATCAAACTGAGAAGAAACTGAATATTTGAAAATAACAAAGAAAAGCAAAAAATTATAAGCAATAGAACTATGAATATTTGCGTATAATCACTTACAGAAATACTACAGCAATAAATAAAACAGCATAAAACAAATAATACAAGACGATGAAGCACACAGGGAAACACGATACCTATTATTGAAATTTCACATCAACTACACTTTGAAAACAGGCTGCACTAGATTTGACCCAGCTGCAAGCAGCCAGCATGCAGGCCTTGTAAAGAGTATGATTTTTTGAAACTTAGGTGCCATTACAAATGCACATATAGTTAATAACTTAAAAGGAAATAGATGCGTACATTTTCTTTTTCTTTTCCAGGAGTTCGTTTCCTCTTCAAATTTCCCTTAGCAGACTCCTCTAGATGTTCTTCGTCTTTTGTAGATCTTGTCCCCGACTTTGGTGAAGACAACGATTCCTACATAATTAAGGACAATTCCATTAATCATTTCATTAAACAAGGATCATATTGCAACTAGATTGGAGGCTTGTGCAAATGCATGGATAAATTGCACTAATCAGAGCTCATGAATAATGCGGCTTCCAACAACTTTCATAGACATTGACACATGATTGACTAAATAAAAAATCCGAGCAAAGAAACAGGTTCTACATCACTGCCCAAACATACCTTATCCACATCTTTACCGGATTTTGATACAATAGCATCAGCAGTACTTTTTCCACGTGTCCTCTTTTTCCTGTCCTCTGATTGCCTAGCAGAGGATCCCCCACCACTCTTGTCACTTTCATCTACTTTCCTAGCTGAGTGCCTTTTCACATCTGGATCACCTGCAGCCTGACTTCCTTTTTTGGCTGAATCTACCACAGTAGTTTTCTTCCGGTCAGATCTCCCACCAGACATTTTTTTTGCTGACCGTGTGGCAGGCTTCGCTTCAGTATCACTAGTTTCTCCAGACACTTTTTTGGAATCATCCTCAGTGGATTCTGCCCCTCCTTTGGCAGAACCATCTTTCTTTTTTGGCCGTCCAGATTTCTTTGAACGATTTTCCTCAGGAAGGCTCTCAGTAGGTGGAGAAGCAAAAACTTCAGATTCATCCTCAACTGCCTTGGGTGATGAAACATGAACATCAGTCTCTTTGTCATTCTCTGAATGTCCAGCTGACTCAGCAGAATGATCATTTTTAGGTGAGCTCAGAACGTCCTTGCTTTGAGGTTTAGAGTCAGGTGGTTTCTCAGCTTCCTCCTCAATAGCCACAGTTTGACCCTCAGAAGGTTCTGCCTTTGCTGAAGTAGATGTCCTCCCCTTCTTCTCAGAAGCTTGTTCGGGCTTTTGCTCCGTATTGTCAACCTTATCAGCATCCAAACTATTGCGCTCCTCATTACCTGGTTCACTGCCGCCCTTCAATTGATCAGAATGATCAGCACCATCTTGCTTCTTGGTGGATTTGGAATCAGCTAGAGAGTTATCTTCCCCAGGCTGTGCATTGCCATTGCTCATGACTGGCTTAGGAGATTTGTCTTCAACAGGATCAGCTTCTTGAGGAGGCGGAGCTTCTACTGAATCCTCTTTACCCACCTGATCAAATGAAATGAATGCCTTCATGCATTGTGCAACGTATGCAAAGGGATAAAATCCAGAACAAAATAATTATATACCTGAGTTGACTCTTCCAATGGTTCTTTGGCTGATTTGCTCTCATCTGCCTGAAGATGGAAAAACAGTTGAACCAAAATGAACCTTTCACGTCATGAGAAGTATTCCAAGCCAATTAAAAGTTAATTTAAATGAAACCAACAGAAAGCTTACAACCAGTACATACATCATTCTGCTCCGCGCTACCAGGCGTCTCTTGGCATATCGTAGCAAGTACCTTGCTATAATCATCCAGAGAGATACCCAGGGTGCTCACTGCTTGCACTAAGTATGGTTTAAGCTTGGTTGCGCAACTTTCAAGGACTCTCTCCCCCAGCTTTTTAGCTAGTGGAAGAACACCCTGAATCACACAATAGAAATAAATTTCACTTGCAAAATCATCATCCATTAGAAGAATGAGATCACAACATTCTAATACCAACCTCATCCTTCTTCACACTGGCCAAGATTGGAGCAAGTAAGTCCAGAGATATATCTTCACTTTCCTCTATAACAAGGGTCATAATAATCTCCATGGATGAAAAAACACTCTCTGGGTGATGTTCCCTGAAATTTTCAAATAAAGCCATCATGAACACGTTCATGCATTAGAGATACCTCCAGCTGAATTCAGTGATTCTTTTACACAAAGGAAAAATAAGATAAGGAAGAATGCAACCCCACAAGAAACAGAATTCTCGCAAGGTCTATTGGCACAAGACCCCTATTCATCAAGGACAGACGATTAACAATTTAATGATGTAACATATATACTAGTATTTATCATAAACTGAACAAGTTCCCACTCATCTTTGGGCTACTAGCATTGAAAAACTCTAACCACAAAGGAAAAGGCAATACCTGCCTTGTTGCAAGACAGGGTGGCTTGGATGCTTAAAGCATGCCTTATAATCACTACTGCTTTAATTCGAAAGACTTTCAATATGGTTTATGCCCAAAATAAAATGACCAAATGTGCAGTAAACGCCAATATTTCATTATTTAAGAAATATATAAAAACAAAAGGATCATACGCCAAGGGATAACATTAAGTTATCATAAAGAATCAAATGGATCTTAATCCTTCATACAGAACCAACGATGATGCTAAAATCAGAGGACATTCTAAATTTTTTGCATATATCATTACAAGTCATTTCTCTCGCGAATGGGCAGAGCACAATTTAAAAGCAACGCAAAGGCTGTTAGCATGAATCTACTCTATATCATAGGACTCCCCACGATCAAGGTTTTCAGTTGTGACACATTGGACAAAGCATGACGTGAAAAATGCAGTGAAAAAGCACCATGCTACACTAAGACATAATAGTTCTTACCTTACAGCCTTAAAGAAATGCTGAAACATCTCCACAATCAAGGCATCACATTCAAGATCCAGCATTACTACACATGACCTGACCTTCGCAACAGTTTCAACAATTGAGGTCCTCTTTGTATATGACGGGCTTGACTTATCAAGTAGATTTTCAAATGAAGATACAATCAATTGAAAGACCTCCTACAAAAAAAAACAAAAACAAAAAAAAAAAAAAAAAGAAAAAGCATAAGAAAACTTTAACACTGGAATTATTAACAAAATAGTGACAATCCGCAAAATTTGTAATGGAAGAAGCCCATACCTTCATCTGCTCATCATCATAAGGCGCATCTGGAGCTGTAATTCTTGTGATCTCGCTGATGCAAGAAGCAACTGCAACTTTCACATCAACGTCTGAATGCTTTAGTAATTTGTCAGCAACCAATGCTTTCAATGATGGAGAGAGTGCATTTTGCATCGACTTGGTAGGGGACTGCTCAACCCTTGATAGGAAATTTTCAACTCGCTATAATAGAAAAGAAGTAGGATTGTGTCAGACGTGAATCATGCTCACCTTTAAAGGAAGCACAAATTTGAAGTATATTTTTTGACAAATGCATATCCTCCATCAAAGATTATTAACTTCACCACTACAATTTTAATTTTAATTTTCAAGATGCAAATGACAAAGAACCCAACTTCAGATACTTGACAGATTTCACAATCTGCTAAGCTAAGAACAGTTGCTAATTAATATGGAAATTCAAAAAATGCATTTCTTACACGCAAATTAGTGATGCATAGGATTGATTTTTATTACCTGCCAGATAATCTACAAAGACATATTTGACCAAACGAGGATTATTAAAGATTGAAGGGAATGTAACAAATAATCTTCCCCATATTTATGTTTGAGATATTTTCTCTTTTGGCTTAATTATGTAACATTTGAATGCCCAAAAAACAAAAACTATTGAACATTTAATGTGACGTGACGGTATAGATTAGGGATTTGTCACTTCTTCAGACATATTTATGGAAATGGATCCCAATTACACACTATTATTTTAGATGGGGCACCACAACGTTAATCCTTATTAGTCTTCCGCCATCTCAAGTTTCCAAAACCTTAGGTTAGAATTTGCAGCAACAACGGGACTGGCATCTGAAATCATTTGTATTTTCTTAAGCAGGCAATAATTAAAGGTTATGAAAATTACAACTCATCCGATATACTAAAACATAATATAGGAATATTGAAAAACAACGTTACCAACATGAATCCCCATTCACATCTATTTAACCTTTTGGAAGAATGGCCAAAATACGATTGTATCGAAGAACATTTCAGCTAACTTAATATATGCCATAAATGGTCTCACAAGGTAGTAAACGCCAGGGAAAAAGGCTGTGAAATAAGTTCGTATTATTCCGCCAGGAACTAGTGTTTGCTACCAAAGTCACATTAGAATGCCATTACAAAACAAATTCGGCAGCTAGCCTACGACTGCAGGGCTCCGCTTGACTTACTCGTATATTATAAACGAGTGCTAAGAAGGTACAACCCAAGATAAACAATTTAGTTTCCCTGGAAAACTAACAATAGGGCGAGAATAAGCATGGTAGCCGCATGCAGTGAGGGAATGGATCAACAAAATCAACAGCGTCGAAAAACAAGCTTCAATAACGCCAAATACTATAGACCCCAGGCCTCGATAAGCCAAGAGCACAATAGAACTGGAACAACTCCACAAAACACAAGTAGAAGTTGATGCGGGGGGAGGGCAGACACTGGGGGAATGGAATTGAAGATAAAAATTCAAAAATGAGGAAAACCATGCTTACATCAAGAAGGGGGAGGAGCTCATCAACAGAAGACGGAGGATCCAGTAGCTTGTTTCCAGCTTCGAGAAGCTGCTCTTCGAGCTCCTTGTCAGCGGACGTCATTGGTGTTGTGTGCGAGTCTCTTCCTCTAGATCTTCGACAAACCTCCGGTAATTTCCGTGGGTTCACTCCATTGAAGCCCTAGAAACGCACGAATCGAAGACAGAGGCAGTGGATTCAAGACCAGTGAGGAAAAGGGTGAATTTCTCAGCGAAAAATAAAAAAGATTAGGGTTTTTTATTTTCTTCCTCTGAGAGGAGACAGGGGAGGGGGAGAGAGAAAGAGAAAGTAAAGTGAGAATTTCGGGAAAAAATTTTGAGGATGAAAGTCCCTTGTGCAAATTACTGCAATATATATACTAAAGGAATTAAATTTTTTCTACTTTTGCTGTCCTTCTTTCCCAGGCAATTTCTTTCGAGCGCTTTTAAAAGAGAATCGAGCGGAACTCCGCTCGGACTTCGCGGGTTCGTGAATTCGAGTTAAATTTGGGGCCTCGAATCCGCTTTTTGGATCTTCTTGCTCCACGGGCCCGCGTGGCTTTCATTTCACCCGGCGTCCTTTCTCGCCCATACATAATGCATCTTTAAATCCACATGGTAAGAAATTTCTTTTATTTCCATGACAGTTATTTCCATTTTTGGCATGAAAATAAACGGCGTAATTAATACTGTTGGATTTTTCGGACGCGTAATAATTGTTAATTAATTATTATTAGATATATTAGCTTATATGTGACGGTGTGGTTCAAAATTATCCGGCACGTACATGATTCGGGCGGAAAGGCGCGTTAGGTCCCTCTACGTAAGGCAATATTAAATGGTTTTATGTCCTTGTCCCTTAAAAAAAGGAAAAATGGTTGGATTTGGACGATTTTATTTTATTTTTCCCATTGAGATGTTGCATTTCTGGAAGGATATATAATTGGATTTCTAGGGCAACATGAACATGTACCTGTACATGTTTTTCATGGATACTTTGCATGGTATGGTACTTCCTTTGCACGACAAGGTCATGATATATATTAATGGAAAATAATATGAGTTGATTTTTTTTCATGCCAAATATGGTTAATGCATTCCTTTCACGTAAAATATATCTTTCTCTTGAAAATTATGGGCATTCTTTGCGTATTTAAATCAAGCCCTTTAGTTAGTAAGTGATAACGACGACAATAAATTAGAATCTTATTACAATGCATTTAACGCCGTAATAATGTGGTTCCGATTATTGTGCATGATACAAAATACAAACGATAAGCGAATCACTTGTCGGATCTGTGCCTTTCTTTGTGATCTATGTTTTTTTTTTTTTTTTAGTTGCAAGATCTGTGGCATCAAACATGTTGTGGATCACACTACGGTTTTATATTTTGTTAACTCTTAATGAATTTAAAGACATAGTCGAGTGGAATCTGATTAGTGAATCTGGTTTAAAGGACACAACTATTCAATCTAGGATTCTCGAATAATTTAATTTGGTTTGCTACCACCAATCTGACAATTTCTACAACTATCAATAATCTTTAATATAAGAACCAATTCATATTTAACTTGGTTCTAAATATAAGATCCCGATTATCGTATTTATTTATTTTTCTCGAAGTAGTAATTTTATTAGTTGTACATGTTAAATATTTCATCAGGCGGTAATTTTAACTAATACATATCATTTTCAATAGTATCTTAGAAAAGACAAAGCATATTTATTACCAATAACTAACTTATATTAATTATAAGTACCATTATTACAATGATTACTTTGGAAAAAAATAGATAATATAAGAGACAAAATGGATTAAGGTTTTATATTTAGAATCAAAATAAAAATTAAATAAATTTTTATATTAAGGACTGAAGATAGTATTATTTAGGTGGAAAGATTACGCCATAGTCATTTTTTAATATGTTTTAAAAACTACGTGACAAGGTATAATTCTATGCGGTCTGTGTGCAATGGACTTGTATACTATGCACCCATGAACTAGTCTGTGGGTTGCGTATTCACACGTAATCCGAACCAGGCATGTTCGATTGGGTGCATTTTTTTAATACATTTTCTTATATGTCTACAGATATTGATAAAGCCAGTATTTAACGCTCTTAAGTAATATCCATGAGTATTCACTTTAATTTATATTAAAATATAAACCACTGATATTAACATAAATATAATGCAAAGTCTATGATAAGACCCCCTCACGAGCTCAGCACGCTAGTCTGTTTTTTTTCCCCTATTGCATGCAACATGCTAAATTATCTTCTTCCTTTTTTATGCATACTCCTCCTCTTCTAAATATAAAACTCTTACATAAGCATCTTATATTTAGGAGCAGAGGAGTATATTATTTTGAGACTACCCTATTTAATGCATTGTTTGAAATAAACATGAACATATTTCTTACTGGAGATTCAAACATTGACTCATCATGTTACAAGGCATTAATCATTTCTGTTGAATCCAATCTCATTAATTGATTGCAGTGTACTAAATTATAGTTTGTTGAAATGATCGAACATTTGGAAAAAGCTGCATTACGTTATCGCTATGAGTATTCATTCAAATAAAAAAATGGTAAGGCTGGTCAAAAAAAAAACAAAGGGTAAGAATTGGGGTGGGCTCCAGCGTATTAATATGATTGGTGTTCATATCACTACATCATATGTGCCATTATGAATCACTCTGCTGGTGCATGTATCAGTTTTCCGAAAAACGTGACACATGTAATTGGTTGACTAGCCCACATAGCAAGCTCCTTAATATCTCTCGCCAAAATGATCAGAGGGTGTTTTCTATTGCATTTTCTAGACTCTAGTCTAAACCAATAGAACAAAAAAGGACAAGACTAAAAGGGTGTTTGGATTCTTTTATAAGTGTTTTTTAAAAGTATTTTTTTCTGTAAATCGAGAGAAATTCTTTTACATATTTATTTCGTATACTGTAAGATTACTTTTAAAACCATGGTTTAGTTTTTATCCAAACACCCCATAAATCGAGATGGCCCCTTGGATCAGACCAGGTTTTAAGTAGTCCAACACCGTTACTTTCCTCCACTTTGATTCGAATGCACCGAAAACTATAATACTATCTCTTATCCTAATTATAAGAACCAGTTGACTAATTTGAGAATATTAAGAAAGTAAACTGAGTTAATTATTTGTCCTAAATAGATGTTGTATTTCCTAAAACATCCTTACTAATCAAGTGTATTGACTAAAACTCTTATTATTAGAAGGGTTACTCTGGAAAAAAAATGTATAAATATTAGAGACAAAATAGATTCGGGTCTTATATTTAAAATCAAAATAAAAGTCAAACAGGATCTTATATTAAAGATCGGAGGTAGTATGATATAAGCAAAATCTCTTGAATATAGACTCGTAGTGTAATTTGATCGATCCATCTGTGAGTGCCTTGATGTTGCTCATTTAGTAAATCACTAATTGACAATTTGACTTGGATCACAATTTTCTCCTTTATCCCTTGTTTCAGAGCAGTAGCTGTAATTTGCCTTCACTGCGATTTGTTCTCTCTCTTCTGGATATTCGCTCTCAAAGTTTCAGGCTTTTTTTTTTTTTGGTCCAAAAAGTTTCAGGCTTTGATCAGTCTAATTTCTGCTGCTCGGAGTCTGCATGGTGCTTTCTTTCTCTTTTCCTTTTCATTTTTATTTTCCTTTTGGTCGAGCAAACCAATCTCCCGACCTAATAGACCAAGCACATACTTAGTTCGTGTTAGGTTTGACCCAATCTAGACTAGAATTTGGGTGCAAAGTTCAGCATCTGGTCTTTTAAGAAAACCTGAACTAACTCAGTTATTGTCTTTCAATACTCATTTTAAAAAATATTTGTATAGAAATCAAATTATAATTTTAAAAGTGATTTTACGATATACAAAATAAATACTACCTCCGGTCCTAATTATAAGACCCAGTTGACTTATTTGAGGAGATTAAGGAAGTAAGTTAAGTTAGTTATTTGTAATAAATAAGTATTGTCATTCCTAAAATATCCTTGCTAATTAAGTGTATTGGCTAGAACTATCATTATTAGAAGGATTATCTTGGAAAAAAATACATAAATATGAGAGACAAAATGGATTGGGATCTTATAATTAGGACCAAACAAAAAGTCAAATAGAGTCTTATATTAAGGACCGGAGGTAGTACCTGATAGGAGTTGTCTTGATTTGCGTGAAAATATTTTTTAAAAGCACACACTGAACAAACTAAACACCCTCTTAAAATTCCCCCCTTCTAGTGAAATACCCCACAAATATTATTTTGTGATCACATATATATACTATTCATTCGTTTTTTATGAGATCTAAATTTTTTAATTCCCTGTCTCTTTTTATGAGATTTTTTTTACGTTGTTTAGTATTAAATGCATTGTTCTCAAATTTATGCTTAATTATTTTTTTCTTCATTTGTACTTATTATTAGTATTGTTATTGTTATTATTATTAGTTCTTATTGATCCACTTATAAATAAGGATGTATTTGGAAAAATATATTTTTCACATATTTATTATTTTTTATTAATTTTAACAATTCTTTAAGTCACACAATTCAGTTATTTAGTTTTGTAATAAGAGATAGAGAGAGCATTTTCCAGTGCACCGATTTTCAATGAACATAAATTTTGAATGCATTAAAGTTGTTGTGTATAACACGTGATAACTGGCCTTTTTTTTTTTTTTTTTAATACCCCTCGACAGACGCACTCGCATGTGATAGTTCTTGACTTTTAATTTTCCAACCAGAATAGTTCTCGACTTTCTTAACATTATCCTTCCACTGGAAATGCAAGAATCTTTCAAAATCGAAAATATGCTACTCCTCCGGTCTTTATTATAAGACTTAATTTGACTTTTTATTTGATCCTAATTATGAGACCCAATCCATTTTGTCTCTTATATTTATGCATTTTTTTCCAAGATAATCCTTCTAATAATGATAGTTTTAACCAATATACTTAATTAGCAAGGATATTTTATGAATGACAACACTTATTTATTATAAATAACCAACTTAACTTACTTCCTTAATCTCTTCAAATAAGTCAATTGGGTCTTATAATTAAGACCGGAGGAGTAATTTCCTACAAGTGTCCTGCTTAGCTTCCCTTTACTTTCACATTTGAATTAACTTATTTCAAATGATCTTACATTATACGAAACAAATACATGATAATAATGTCCGGCAAAACACAACTCTTTTAAAGATAATTGTAAAATTCACCAAATAAGCACTGCATCCGCTTCCGTTGATCTTAGCCACACTTGAAAGAAGGCAACAAAAAAAAATCACGCTTTAAAATAAAACTATCTGTTATCAAACATGCTCAGTGTCTTATACAAAATAAGTAAATTCCTGTTCACCGTAAAAAATAGGTAAATTATTAAGATATTTGTGTTGGCCTTTTGGTTGACACAAAAACGTCTGATGCGTGGAGATAATAATATTTTTCATGTGAGTCATATATATGTGTAAAAAAATTTCTGTATTTAAATCACTATAAAGGCAAAAAAAAATGCCATTTTGCCCGCGACTTCCGAAACCCAACAAGCATAAATTTTTAGCGTTACAATAAAAAAAAAGAAGTCAGCGGCTAGTCTTCCTGGCTTGGGGGTACCTCCAGACAAATATTAATATTTTTTATTCTAGATACTGTCTTCTTTCTACGTCGCTGATTTAAGGTTATTAATCTCATAACCACTGTTTATGTATTAAAAATACCTAATCAGATAAGTCCGTTTGATACTGAGTATTAAAAATAAGAGATAGGAATAATGATTGCAATTGAAAAAATATTAAAAATTATTTATTATAAATAATTACTTGTTATATGGGATTAAGTAAACCTGTGAAAGTAGGATTAGAGAATACCACTTTCCCTATAATATTCTCTGATCCCATATATATCGGTTTTTCTAATCTTATATAACAAGTAATTTTTCATGTTAAACACTATTTTCTCAATTTTAATTCCATCTCAATTTCTTATTTCTAATGTTTCGTGCCAAATGATACCATAGAGTGTTGAACTCTTATTAATGTTTTCTGTTGGCGTTTTAGGGTATGTTTGGATTGACGTTGGGCAAAACTGACTTCTAACTCAACTGACTTTTATAACTGAAGTTAGAGTAAAAGTCAGTTAGAGTATGTTTGGATAGGTGCTTTTGAAAAATCAGTTAAAAAAGCTAAAAGTTGTTTGGATGATGAATGAAAAAGTTAGTTTAGTTGTAAAATGACTAAAAAGGGCATGAACTTTATTAAATAGTAGTTTTTAATTTTTTATGTTTTTAATGTGATAATAGGTTAAAAACATAAAAATTATTATGATAAAATATAAATAGTTTAATTGTGAATTATGAAATAAAAATATTTGTTATGAAGAAAAAGTTGAAAACATTGTAGATAATTAATTAAATATACATAATAGACAAACATGAATATAAATTAAAATTTATTTGGTCTAAATAAAAACTTATTATGCTAACGAAGGAGATGAGGCAGAGAGAAAAATGTGAGGGTAAATCTGGGATGCTCATTTTTAGTAATCACCGTTTGAACTACAGTTTGAAAAGTTAGATTTTTCTCCGTTGAGTCTAACTGAGGTTGAAAGCTAGAAGTTGGTTGGAAAAGTTAGCCCAGCCAAACAACAGTTTTGGTCCAACTCAGTTTGCAACCTCAGTTTCACAGATTTCAAGGCACAACTACAGTTTGGAACTGCAATCCAAACATACCCTTAGTTGACTTCGCCTTAGAGAAGACAAAACAAACGAAGAAAAAAGGCACACCGAGAAAGAGATAAAGCGGGGACAATTAAGACTGACGCAGAAAAGTGCAAAAAAATGTGCAATCACGCACAATAAAGTTAAAAAAGGGGAGGGCAGATCTGCAATTTTGGTTTTTGCACAGTGCAGGAGAAAAGCGCGCGGCATCCGAAAAAAGCTTAGGTGTGTCTTAGCCCGCTTATGATGCGGTCCTTTGAAATTGAATTTGATACCCTTGATATTAACGTTGGCTGTTGACAAGAAATGAGAGGAATTATTTTTAAATAAAAAATAAAATTAATATGATATGAAAAAATGTATTGTTCATCGTATCTCATTTATAAAATGACTCTCCGTCTTGATAAAGGAATACTTGTAACTGGACCACTATATTAATTTTAAGTTACTACTTCCGATTCTAATTATAAGAGCCAGTTAATTAATTTGAGGAGATTAAAAAATAAGTTGAGTTAGTTATTTGTCCTAAATAGGTGTTGTCTTTCCTAAAATATCTTTGCTAATCAAATGTATTGATTAGAACTATCATTGTTAGAATGGTTACTTTGGAAAAAAATATATAAATATGAGAAACAAAGTGGATTGGTCTTATATTTAGGATCAAAATAAAAGTCAAACAAGATTTTATATTAAAGATCGGAAGTAGTATTTAATGAAACAAATTCAACCGTAACTGATCTAACTTGACATAAATGGTAATATGCATAATAAGAAAGGCAAGCGGGGCCAAAAAGTACATGTCTAGTGAAGAAGTTAATCATTTTAAATGGTCGCCACCTAGTCTTTCTATAATGTTATTCAAAATTACGACGTGAGTTCCATGTTACATATGTGCTAGGACTTTTAGAAGGTTTATTGTAGTAGATAGATTGTAGCTTGCACCGTTTGCTAAAAATAAAAAATAAAAAATTATAGTTTACACCTTTATTTAAAGCAAAAGCTCCTCTCTCTTACGTGGATATGTCTCTCGTGATGAATACAACATGATATTCCAATCGTATCCGTCTACAGTATGAAATTTGAAGTGAAGTACATTGTTTGTATAAACTAGTAAGTCCAGCATAAATACATACGGAACCAGTTATAGATGAATTGGATGATTCAGATTTAATTTTTATTTATTTATTTAAAATAATTATTTTAATAGGTATAGAATATAAAATAAAGATCACCTATTAACTATCATTTTTTTCAAAAAATAATTTCTTATATTTAAAAGTAATTAATCAAAAATTTAAAATCTGAACCATTCAAATAACATTTGAATAATCTAGATATGATGAGCTCAAAATACTTTCCAATGTGATAAGGATTAAAACTGGTTCTATATACATATCTTTACGTTCACTTGCATTATTGAATTAAAATAAAAATGTCTCCATCAAAGACCATACCCTTTTTAATAATTTCAACGGATTCTTTGTAAATTAAAATTTTCCATCTTAAAAGTGTCATAAGGATAAAGTCAAATCGACTCTATTGAAGGGAAAAAAATAATAATAAAGCATTAAACATATAATTTCTTGCTCACAAAACCAATTTGACACACAATTAGTCTATTATTATAACGATTATAATAATAAACTAATTGCGTGTCAAACTAGCATTAAAAGGGTGCCCGACGTGTACGGAAAATACCATAATCCCACACAAAAAATCGCCAGAAGAGAGAAGTCAAGTGGGAAACTCTCCTTGCCAACCTTGTCTGGTCCACAAATTACAGGCCGTGCCATAGAACGAGTCCAGTGGCAGTATCACATTCCTATACGACGAAACAGATGAAAACCACCGTCCGGATTATTGTATACGATGAACCCCCAGTCAACTCCACGCGAAGGGCCGTAGTTTCATGATTCTTTCATCTTCTATCGATGTACAACACGAAGCAAAAATTCTCCGTCTAGAGACCCACGTCTCAGGCAGCTATAAATGCAAGCAAACTCGTCAAACACGGCCACAAGACCAAGCAAAGCACCCCTCCCCTGGTGATAAGTTGATAATAGCATTCCTGGGGTAGGCATTTTATCCCATGGCATAAGAAGAGGTAGGCAAGTTGATCACCGTACTCTTAATCTTAGTCATCATGTTAATGCTGTTACTGATTCCTTGCGAACCAATTCCACTGTCCTTCAGACCCTGCCACAAATCATTATTTGCATGTCGAGATGGTGAATAGAGAAGTGATCCAATATTATGGAGACAAAAAATGCTGCCGACTCTGCGTGGCCTTTTTTGTTTTTGTTACAGGATGCGCATATGATCTATTGATAATTTAATGGATGACTTGGGTATCCAAAAATGGTGCTTGTTGAGAAACCTCTGAAAGTGTTTCCGATCGAGATATACTTTATAATTATGACTACAATCTATAGAACTGATGACAATTTTGGCAAGATGAATGAAAACACTGCACCTGAAAAGGAAAATGATCTGGTCCCCGAGCTGGTGCTGAATTAATTTGAACTGTTCCTGTCTCCATTGCATCACTTATCAATATTGCTTTGTTTATGTCTCTTGTGAAGACACAGCCCTGCGTTGGACCGACAGAAGCAGTGAGGGAAAGAAAAATGCATCGTAGCATATATGTCACTTTGATGGTTAAGGAACAAGGAACTGAAGATACAGGCAGCAAATCACAAGGACATCTTACTTCTGAGTTCTCTCAAATTGTCGAGAACTCATCAAATCACAAGCGAGGAATCCTCAGAGTTCAGGTCTAACAAGATAACGGACAAAAAGGGAACTTGCAAATAATAAGGAAACAAAAAATTTCAACTCTTTCTTGCGAAAGAGCCCCTCTTATCCCCTAGTCTTATTTTCAAAATCAATGACTAAAAATAATATACGTTCGCATATACTTTTAACATACTCTACCTGAAGGCCAAAATTGCTAGCATTACAATGGTTGATTCCTTCATCGACAGAACTTATTCTGACAACTGGCACAACTGGACCAAATGGCTCCTCCCATGCTATCCTCATATCTGGACGAACATTATCCAACAGCAAAGGCCATATGAGATTCCCTTCCCTTCTGTACTCCTGATAGAATGTTGCTCCTTTCTGCTTAGCGTCCATTACTAACCCTTCAATAAAGTTAGCAGAGGACTCTGTGACAACTGGGGTGATATCACAGTTATCCTCAGGAGACCCAACAGTTAATTTTGCAACTTTGGCATTGACTTTCTCAACCAGAGTGTTCGCAACGGATTCCATGACCAAAACAACCTTTACAGCAGTGCATCTTTGGCCACTGACATATATTTTTTGTTTCAGAACATGAGTTAGGAACATTTATGTCATGGGAGCCAAATCCAATGCAGCCGAAATAAGAAAATTGCATCATACAATAAAAATCCCATCATCAAATGTGAAATCTTATACAAACATCAAGAGAAATCAAGTAATGTTTTGCCTTTCAAAATTTCTTAAAAATCTATATTGTTTTTTTTCGGAAGTTCTACGCACTCCTCACCTGTAAGAGAAGCCTCCTTTTACAATGTTAGCAGCTGCCAAATCCAAATCAGCATCTTCAAGAACAATGCATGCGTCTTTTCCCCCCAGCTCCATTTGAAGAGGAATCATTCCTGCCTTCTTTGAGATTGCAATTCCAGTGTCTCCACCAGTGAAACTGTAGATTAATGTGAATTAGGATGTGGCAAAATATAACTCTTGCAATGACATCCAAAACATATTTAGCAGATGCAAATGTGCTCATGACGGTTTAAGGTGCCTAAACTTCTGTTGAAACCACATTTGCTAGTAAGATATCTCATGAATCATCAGATTAAAAACTAAAAAGGACACAACCATTCACAATAGGTAAGCTCCTTAACCATGAGACGACTAAAGAGTTACCTTATGCAGTTCACCCCTGGATGCATTGTAAGAAAGTCACCTATCTCAGAACCCTTTCCTGTCACACAGCTAATGACACCCTTGGGAAAACCCGCCAAATGAAGGCAATGCACCATGTGAAGAGCAGCAACGGCACCCTAAAAGGTATAGACATGGGGTTAGGCAACTTGTCGAACTTATAAAATACATCTGGAGATCCACTTAAGAAAAATATGCAACTGATTTGTGAAATAACTAGTATGAGATTGTGCCGGGCTCCATGTACAGTGGCATACCTGAGTTGGTGGTTTAAGCACAAGGGAGTTTCCAGCAATAAGTGCAGGACCAATTTTTGAAACAGCGAGATTGACAGGATAGTTAAATGGTGGAATCGCTAAAACAACCCCTAGTGGAATCTGCATACAGCAAATCAATTATCCAAAAGAACAAATTATTTACAATCACAAGCATAAGCATATGCCATAGAGAGATATGGTTGAAGGAAGTTATAATAAGTTAGACTAAGTAGAAGATCAAATTCTGATTACAGCCGTCATTTTAATACCATGCAATTGTTTCATTAAACTCCGATTGCCGTGTAAAATTGCAGGACAGCAATCGAGAAACTAACAGTAAGCAAGCCTTTGAGTCTACAATGAAAAGCTGTAGATAGACAAACATATAACACCGAATACTACGTGTTTTTCAGGCCAAATAAAAAAATAAAAAAAAAATTCTACGTTTTTGAGTCCCACGGATCTAGAGAGGTGTGAACCACCCGAAAGGAGCAGGTCCATTACCTTGGAAGTGAGACAGTATTTGGTCCTTTCATTGCCTGGAAAACTATCAGAAACGAGAAATTTCCCTTCTCCAAGAATTCTCACCCCTTCCTCAGCACAATAAGACACCAAATCACCTGATCTAACAACCTACATCAAAAGCAAAGCCTAGTTTATAAAATATGTATAATTAGTCCCCACATCTTAAAAGCACGCAATACATAAAATCAACCAGTAACCTTCTTCGCTCTTTACAATCCAATCAATACTTTCCAAAATGCCACTATACCTAATACTTTCAATGCCACGAAGAAAATATCCAAAACAAGACGTCAAATAATGATGCATTTAGTGAAATCTTTTAATTCTACATACTTCAGTGACGGCGTCTTTAGCTGGCTTTGCAATCTCTTTGACGAGACACTCGGCTATGGGTGCTTTATGCTCCTTCAGTATAGCGGCTGCCCTATGAAGCAACTCTGCTCTTTTCCACAGTGGTGTCTTCGCCCACGATTTTTGTGCTGTCTTTGCGGATTCTATCATCTGGTCGACCTCTTCCTGTGTGCACGCTGTTTGAATTTCGATCAGAGCTAGCTACTATTATAATAGCTATATGCAAAAAAAAGCTTAAAAAATGAAAATTAGTAAAAACAGTAAAAAAGCTAACTCTTCAGGAATTGAAATAGATTAGATCAGGAAAAAATCGATACTTCGAAGATCAAGGAAAAAAGACTGAGACTATGTACAGACTAAAGAGTGAGGGTGACAAATAGAACCTTGAACCTTGAAGTGTGTCTTCCTAGTAGTGGGATTGATGATCGGAACAGATTTTCCCGATGAGGATTTCTTCCACCGGCCATCAGCATAGTACTTGAAAATATCACCGTCTATGATCTCGGCAAAAGCTGTCGTTCCCGCCATGATGGAGCAAGTTGATTGAGCTTTGGTGTAAGGTCGATCAAGAGGTGGAAATGAAGGTTGACGTCTGAATCCCTGTGCAGAGTTGAAACTTGAGTGTATTGGCTGAGATTCCCAGAAGGTGCCAAATGAGGGGAAGACTGGATTCTTCTTGCTACAGATAGTCGCAGTATAACCGGGATTCGATGCTCGTTCGGGCTTTTATCTTTAATTTATTTATTTTTTAAAAAATGGAAACAATTCTTACAACTTACAGTACAAACAAGATTTGTGATCATTTTAATAATAGCCGAATTCTTTGCAGTCGAAATCATTACGGACCTTACAAATGCATGAGGTGCATGTATCCGCCAATAGAAAATGTAAAACAGGAGGCTGTTTAGCCCGCTCTCTTGATGAAGGCGCCTGTTTGGCACGTTAGTTCATGGCAAACTTCGCGTGCACATGAGGGTTCCATGATTTAGGACCCATTTGGTTCAATTACATACCAGTTTGATAATGCAATGCAATCAGATGCCATGCGATGCAATGTACTCCTTCCGTCTTTAATATAAGACCTGATTATTGAGTTGATTTTAATCTTAAATATAATACTTATTTTTTATATTTATCAATTTTTCATAAATTACCTCTATATATACTCTCTCAGTCATAATCAAGTAGAAAAGGGGGAAAGATATTAAGAAAGATGATTATGGTGTTTTAGGAAAAATATGACATATTTTTTATAATTAACTAACTTACCTAATTTTCTTAATCTAACCAAATTAGTTAAATAAATCTTATATTAAGAATATGAGGAGTAATATTTATTACCACAAGTCTGTTTGGTACGTTAATTATGAATGAGTAGTTTTATATTTAGGGGGTGTTTGGCAACCTCCAAACCATGGTTTCAGAAGCATTTTTTCGTAAAACAAGACAAATTCCTTCATATATTTACTTCGTAAACCGTAAAAGCACTTTTGAAACTATGGCTTGGTTTCTATCCAAACACCCTCTTAATTCAATAGGTATAAAAGTATAAGACCAAAATAGCCCCATCCAACCAAAAAAAAAAATGGCCTCCCCTTCTCTCCGAGTCGTCATTCTCCTTTCTCTCTGAAAATGGTAACTTCAAATCAGCAGAAAATCAAAACCAACACAAATAAATTAACACGATTTGAGAATAGATCAAACAAAAGATAAATCACAGAAAAAAAAATCCATTAAGAACATTTTCAAAGCGCAGGAGAAAATGAGACATTTATGGAGCAATGAACCATATCTTTCAACCCACGTAGATATAGATAGATCAAAGAGCATGGTCCACCCACACATAGGTCTCGTCGAAGATCAAAACGGAATCATTCTTCGACCTTGCATTGACTCTTTAACAGTAAGTGGCTGTGTCATTTAGAGCAAATGAATTCACAAATTTGCATTTTGGGATGGCAAGGGTTGAAAAAAAAATTGCAGGCAAGGTGACTGTTGCTCTTTGAAAGTCATTTACAGCACTCACAATCATTGTCGAACTCGATATTTTGATTAGTTACGGTAGATTGTTGCTCCTCATGGATCATTCAGGGAAGGGAATGGCAGTTCGATGATGAAGCAAGAGTGTCCAATTTAGGTTGAGGGTTTTGATTTTAGCAAGATAGGAGGTTGGGTGGAGGAAGAGGTGTTACCAGCAGTGGCGGTGTTAATGAGAGGGTGGATTTGGACAGAAGACGAAGGAAAGGCGATGAGGATGAAATAACACACTAAAGGGTATTTTTGGTGTGAGGTGATGGTGAAGGACAATAATAAGGATTTAATGGGGAGAGTCTATGAATCCTTATTACCAAATTTTATGCAATCATTATTACCATTGCACCATTAAAAATCCAACCAAACACATACATCATGATAATAAAATTTAAATTACCATTGGATTACTATCACAGACCTACAATGCAATTCAACCAAATGGGTCCTTAGCACTCTGGAAAAGGAGCCACAGATATTTAGGCACATTTTTTTTAAAAAAAATAATTTCTATTCTTCGTGTGATCAAAATGAAACTGCACACTCATTATATTCAGGGTCAAATACACAGTCACATGATTAAATAAGATTTATTTTATGTTTTGGTAAGATTCAAGAAAATGTTTAGTGTTAATTTAGATGACCCAGCGGATTTGGACACACATTTTTAAATTTTAACCCATGGGAGTAATTGGTCTTTATAGTTCAATGAGGAGCAAAACACTATGCATCATAAATCCTACATACATATAAAATTAATCTGTAGTGCAAATAGTGCAAATTGTATTAGTTACCAACTAGATCTTATATTTAAGACTAAGAACAATATATAAATGCAAGGTGAGCTGGTGGAGCCATATTTTTCCAGGGCTATTTGATTGGGCCAGATTCAAATATTATTGGGCCCAACAAATGTAGCAAACCTTTTTTTTTTGACAAATTTTAGGAAAGGGGTTGGGCTCACCCACGATTCAATGATAGAGCACCTAACGCTTGATCCACTGGGGCCTGTCCCAATGGGTACGGGAGCCTGACAAGCAAGCATTTTTTTTTGACCTCACAGGTAGGATTCTCCCAACTTCACTACGTTTTGTAGACGCCTCCTCTAGTGCCGCAGCTGGAGCCACAGCAAAATAGTACTCCCCACGATCAAACCCCCTCTTTTTGGTGAGAGAGAATGTAGCAAACCTATTTAAATTATAGAAAGTACGAGTATTAATTTCTACAGGAACAAGCGCGTTAGATGGCCCAAAAAGTGAAGTGGCTCATAGAATGCGCCGAAGTAACCGCTGACAACGCCCAAGGGAATCACCGTCTCCTGGAGGCCCAGAAAATTTTGAACCAGGCCTTCTAGTTTGGCCCATTCCAAGCATTTTTGTATGAACCCAAAAAGAGAACTGACCCGAAGTCCATGTTTTGCTTTTCATCCACTTAAAAACTTCCACGTCACTAACAAGGCCATGTGTTCCTCCACTATTGGCTTAAAATGTGTCACTTAACGTGTCCCCAATTTTCCAGCGTCTCCTTCACTCCGCATCTCTTTCTGGGAAATGCGAACCGGAGCAGGAAGTTGGAATTGGAAGCCTATACAAACACGAATTTTTACCTCCTGGAAATTCATCGGAGGCCCAGCGGCACAATCCATCGTATCCATTTTATGACGAGTTGAGCATTCTTCTTCTTTTTGAGCAGTAAGCTTTCTTTCTCTCTCTTGGTTCCGATCTGGATAGTAAGTCGGGTCGCACGGTGGCTTCCACAGGGTCAGAGAACCTATCTCGAAGAAAGCCTTCTTCTTCTTCATCATCCTCTTCGTCTACGCCAAGCTCCGGAACAAGCCGGATTGTTTACAGGGAAAGTAGGAGGTCCTCCGAATCTGAATTTCCCTTCTGGCAGCAGAATTGGTTCATCGTATTGCTCTTCGTCATGGCTCTCGGATTTTTCGCCCTTGCCCTTTTCCTCTTCCTCAGCCTTGATTCAGACAACGGTCCTTCTTCCACGGCATCAGCAGCTTCCTCTGAAGGCGTCGAGGTATAATCTTTGGATTTTGCTGTCCCTTTGTTGCTTGCAAGCTTACGTTTCTCTTATGGGCTGTGCCTGTGTGATCGATGGTGAACATTCTTCTATTTTTTATTTTTTTGATAATGGGAGATCAAAAGATAAATTTTGTATAAGTGCGAATGGAGATCGTATACTTAGGGGGTGTTTGGATGCCTTTAAAATCACTTTTCAGAAGCACTTTTTTACAAATTGAGACAGTCTCCTCCACATATTTGCTTCGTATACTGTAAAAGCACTTCTGAAACCATCGTATACCGTAAAAGCACTTCTGAAACCATGGTTTTGATCTTATCCAAACACCCCCTTATTATTATTATTATTTTTGAGTGGAAGAGATCGTATACTTACTGTTTGATGGAAACAATAAATGATTCGTCGAACTACTTCAATCATTTCTTTGCTAACAAGTTGAAGATAGAGTTTGAGAATGGTGATCGTGCATCCTAGTGATAGAACATATTATTCAGCTTTCTCATCTGCTGAATGAAATGCGATGTTAAGTTTTAAATTTAATGCAGCAGGAAGAATTGTTTTGCCTTTCGGCATTTCTTGTATAAAGGACCAGTGCCTCAAAACTTTATGACTTGATGTGGCTTTTCTAGTTTATTATTTTTCATTTTATTTTCCCCGATGCAAAATCCGAGCGCATGTGTCATATATTCTTATATAATCTGTCCACCTGACTGTTGTTTAATTCAGAACTGATAATTTTGCCGCTGGGTCACATTTAGGTGCAAATTACTTATGGGACAGTTTTGAAGCTGATGCATGAGAGGAGCAAATTTCGGTTGCATTCTCATGACGTACCATATGGTTCTGGCAGTGGACAACAATCAGTTACCGGTTTTCAAGGTGTTGACGATGGTAATAGTTACTGGGTAAGTTCTTATCTATGGCCTTATTGTTTTTCTCAAGCTTCCCTTTTCTGTTTTGAAAGTATACATGTTATGTTTCATATCTGCATTGCTCTTTGCTATTGAGTTTTTGAAAATGGAAATACTCATTCTCCGACACCTAAATCATACAATAGTTGTGTTTGGTGATGCCATTCACATTCACTATTGGCTTCTACTTCGTGTCTTTGTCTTATGTTTGATTTTGTATGAGACGAAAGAAAAAGCATTGTTCCTACCAAAAGTGGAGCAGCTTCGTTTTGACAAGTTCCTAAAACGATGCCACATCACGTTTGCTCTGTCTCGTGTCTTGGTTTTGAATTAGTAATTAGTAATCAAATTTTATAAAGTGTTATTTTCAACTGTCGCTGCTTATACAAACTGTCACCTTTACGGTGCAAACACTTGCTGTGCATAAACAAGATTATACTTAAATTTTTAGTTTTTAATGTAATCACTAATCATAAAGAGCGAATAATTTTCTCTGTTGGTGTACTTGACATTGACAGAATTATTTATATTGTTCTTGTTATGACTTCTTACAATTTTGCAAGGTGCATCCTTTTGCAGGTCGTTAGACCTCAGCCTGGAACTTCTGCCAAACAAGGCGACACAATTAAAAGTGGAACAATCATTAGATTGCAGCATATGAGGACAAGGAGGTGGCTGCACAGCCATCTGCACGCATCCCCAATTAGTGGCAATCTTGAGGTAGATTGAAGTTCTTTGTTGTTCAGTATTAGGAGCTCTAGGATTTGATGATGATTTACTTTAATGCTTCCCGCTGTACTTTCATAGGCTAGAGAAGTTATGTGAGAAGAGATTTGCCTTATATATGATTGTGAGATGAGGGCTCTGAATTTCACCATCTGTTCTGGCCTCTAAAACACTTTTTCTTTTGGGGTCAAAAGTTGGTACAGCACTGCATTTGCCGTTTATGGAAGACAATTTAAATACCTCTTATTTTTTCCCATGCTTTCTTAAATATATGCTCTTTCTAGTAATTTGACTGTGAAAAGCTCTTCTTTTGAATGATTTTCCCAACACATAACATGGGTTTATGAAAAACAAACCACTTCTTTCTTGCATTGTTTTGTATGAAATTCTACTGGAATGAAGTTTAAAAAATAAGTTCAGATCCATAGCATTTGCAAACATAACTTTAATACAATTGAGATCTTTGAATTGGCTTTCAGTTCCATTTGCATTTTTAATGCCCAGATCTATGTTGTAAACAAACTATCCATGAGGAATCCTTTTTATTTTCATTCAATAGTACCATTCTCATATTTTTGGACATTATGTATTGCATTTTGCAATTCCTGCAGTATCATGTTACATGTCAATGTCAATGACTCTCATCTGCCCCACATTCATTTCCTAGACAGTTTCCTTAACCGTCAAACATCTGGTATTGTTGAGCATACTAGGTGGCTGCCCTAAATATGGTCAAGAGAACCTTTTTATATGCATTTATTCGTGTGATTTCGATTGTTGCTTTGTTTTCTGTCGCTAGATACAATACTATTGTTATTTGCCTTCAGTTGTAAGTTATTTTTTATAGTGTTTATTGGCCTCCAAAGGACACATAAGAGAATATTGGCACCACTAACATTCTTGAAGTAGGGTGCCTTAAGTTGAAAAGTTGCAAAGCTTTAATTTTTTGTTGTTCTTTTCGTATGTAAAGAGGTTGCTATTGAGGTTCTGATTCTAAGATAATCATTTTTTTGCCATGGCAAAGACAATTTTAGATATCTGAATTGATTCACTTAAATCAAAAATAGGTGAGTTGCTTTGGAGGAGACTCTGAATCTGACACACGGGACTATTGGAGGTGAGCCACGAGAAAATATTACGAAGTTACTTACTTATGAAATTATTCAAGGGGCCTTATATCATTTGATTCTCATTAGGCTACTAATAGAGGGAAGTGGAAAGACTTGGAAGCAAGACCAGAGGATTCGACTTCAGCATGTCGACACTGGAGGTTATTTGCACAGTCATGATAAGAAATACTCTCGGATTGCTGGGGGACAGCAGGAGGTAAGAAAGGAATTATAAATTGGGAATCTTTTTGTGTGTGTGTTTGTGTGTTAAGAACTGGAATCTCTTTCATTCAACGACAGATTGAAGATGTAGATACAGTTAAGCAAATTGTGTCTTGTATTCTCTGGAAAACTTGGGATTTTCCTGTTTTCACACTTCCGGGTTTCATAGGCCCTTCCAACCTATACTTTGCCAGGTTTTGGCTGTCTGATCACGGGTATAAATGTTAGTTGCTTGGGAGTAAAATGTATTGACAAAAATAGCTAAGATTGTCCCTACTCAAGTTAGATGAAATTTTGCTTTTTCATATGGTACAAACTATTTGTGTAGTGATTCCACATTTATTTTTAATCTGCAGATTTAGCCATTTAGGTGGGTAGAGGCATTTTGTAATTTCTGTACTGAGCTTCAGTTTTATTTGGTGCTTTTTCTTGGGGGTGATACTGTGTATTAACTTTTTGAAGTGGGTCATTGATTTTGTGCATTTACTGTATGTTGAATCATGCAGGTCTGTGGTGTCCGGGAAAAGCGTGCTGATAACGTGTGGCTGGCAGCAGAAGGCGTGTACCTTCCGGTTACTGAAAGCAAATGAAGTTGATCACCATCACCATAACAATACTCTCATTGTTATGCAATTAGTATCAATACTTGGTAGCATGTAGAAACGAGTGCGGCACATTTTTTTGATTTTAGGGGTTTAGCGTACTCTGTCGGACAAGTAATACATAGGGCAGGCGTTTGCCTTTTGAATGAAGAATACATGTGCCATGAGCAGTTTTACACTTTTTTTAGTAACTGTTCATCAGCTTTAATTTTGTGAATTTAATATCTACATATAATTTTAAAAACTTTAACAAGCTTTTCCCAAAACAAAAAAAAGAAAACAAACAAACTTAATTGTTTGCGTCGTAACCAGAACTGGAGGTAATACGATTTATCTATTATTTTGTTAAAACGCTGTGCTCATTAATATTAGTAGCAATTTTTATATGGGTTTACTTGCGCTTTTATGAGAAGTGTCTAACCATTTTATCCATCATGGGGCAGTTGGTGTGTTGTTTAATTCGTTTGGTTTTGTGTTCTCGTCGATACTCTCCACGCACCCGCGTATAAATTTGACCGGAAAAAAAAAGAGTGAACATAATGGATGTGGCTAATTAATTTGTGTTAGTGTGTCATAACATAGATGATTCTACGCTCGTGATGCTTGTTTACTTTGCTTAATTCCATTTAGTTGTTTGCGTCATCAGGATTGGTATTGATTAAAAGAAAAACAACCGGCCAAGACTTTATGAAGGATCAGAACTCCCAAGAGCGGCCACTGGCCGTTTGGCCGAGTGGCGTGCGTGTGTTGCGGGTTCAATCCCGTCTTGTTGTAACCTAAAAAAAAAAGAACTCCCAAGAGCGGAGCCAAGTCCTCAGGTTTTTTTGGGTTTGGTAGTTTACTCGTTGGATTCATAATTCTCTATAAAGCTCCTTCATAAATGAGAGATCATGGGTTTGATCTTGTCTATAACGTCGGTCTGTTAATGCCTACTACTCTAATTAGAAAAAACGTATTTCCTATAGAAGGCTGAGCAAGTATATGAGAGAAACGGCAAGTATTCCCTATATAAAACTTTTTGGTGAACAACCATGATCCACCTTTTTTGATTTACGTGCAAACACTGAGATTATCAAACATCATCTATTATATAATGCCAATGGCAATGGGTCTCCTCTTAAAGCACAAAAGAGAGACCCTTGGACTTCTTGGAGCACGCTGCTACAGCCTTGTAGTTCGACGATGCTTCTTTTTATCACTCTTTAATTTCATTCTCATGTGAGCTTTACGCCACATGTATCCCCGCAAAAAGAAAATATAATGAAACAAAGGGAGTATTAATTTATTAGAGCCAAGTGTTTTTCTCAATCTCTCTCTCCCCCTACCCTCTTTCTTTTTGGTGAATTCCCAATCTCACTTTTGATTCTCAATTGTGTCTCTTTTTACAGTGTGCCACGTTTAGACTGTCTTCTTGCGAGATGCTTTATGAATGAATCAAAGATCCATCAGTTTCTAGAGCATGCTGGTGGGGCAGACAGAAAACTTGTCCTTATTTATTTATTTCAATCACCAAACAAGTTCGGACCATTCAATATTTTAACTCAACTGAATTCCAGTCTAGCATAAATTTATCCATGAATGGTTAACCTCCTAACATTCAGAACATGGCCTCAACTTACTAACCCTTCTCTCTTTTTTTTTAGTTTAAGGCAGGCCCTTTGGGGCTGTGGTCCACAGTCCCACACAGAGATCAAATACCACCTCTTGTCAGTTCAGAAATTCACACAACCATGTGTTTTGTTTTTTAATGACAGACACTTGAAACTGCACCTACAACGATAGCCACCGACTGCTGCTTTAACTATTTTCATCAAGAAACTTGAATTAATGCTTTTCTTTTCTTTTCTTTTTTGTAAAAATAACTTGTTAATGTGCAAATGGGTCAATCTTTCCCGCCTTCATGGATTCTAAATGTCTAACCAACCACCTGATGTCCTCTGTTTAAACAACTGCACCCTGCTTCATAGTTGTTGTCCTCATAAAAGTTGCCTCTGTATCTGCCAGTTAAGAGTATAGGACCCAGAGTTTACGGAAGTAAACCCCTCCTTGAAGAACAACATGAAATTATTGTATCTCCTGTTCATTATATTTTGCTAAACGGTCTTGAACTGGTTAGAGAAAACTTGTATCCCTTGATTGTGATGCAACGTGGGGTTGTGTAATTACGTAACAAGTTCAGGGGTAGATCAGTCATTGTATACACTCTACGGATAGTATTTATGAATTGACGACACATGGTGTTGGGAAGCATCTGGTGTGGGGTCTCTATTCTGCGAGGGTCCTCTTTTGAAAAGACCAGGAGGGTTAACTTTATGTGCCTAATCTAATGTGAGATACTCGGAACTAGGAATAACATTTTATAAAGCCAGACCAAAAAAATCACAAGTTGTCTTTTCTTTTTTATTGCTTTCCAATATTCAGAATTATCTGCACAACATATAGTGAGCTAATCATTGAGTTAAAATAATTGTGGTAACTGAGGGAACCAGCACTAAAAGAAATGCACATGACCTACAATTAAAAAGAGCCAATGCCATGCCTATGCCGGTGGTGAAGGGTCCATGCTAATTTTAATTTTAGCAAGTGTGGTTGTTGAAAGCCTCAGTTTATCTCTTTATGAGTTAATAATGAGTTAGCTGAACAGCATTTATCTTCATAAATAAGAAAACTACATGATAAAACGGAGGCCTTAATATTAGCATTGCATAGTCCCCACTTGGCAAACCCAGACATTTATTCAAAACCAGAGAAATTGAAACGTTCCACTGGCTCTGCATTTCCCATTCTGCTACGACAACAACTAAGAATTACTCCTACTTTACACGTCCATGTCTGCTCCAAACATAAATACGAAGGAAAGAAGAAGGCATTATGACTTGTGGGAATGAATACATGTTGTGAGCAGAGTGGGCAAGTCGGTTTAGACAGTATAGGAAGTTCTATGAGTTGGCTGAACTTAATTTGGAGGACTAGAGGCAGGCCAAGCTTCAATGATTCAAGTGACAGTAATAGGGTTTCAGGCTTTTGAGCCTGCCTATGTAACATCATTACCATACTGAATGAAGATGTTATAGAAATGCATTTTGAATTTTGTACCTTCGCTTTCTTCATTTATTATAGCATAGTTGGCATAAACCAGCATTGTTTCTGTTTCCTCATTGGTGAAATAAATCTCACATTTACTCCATTGTTGGATACATAATGGTAGAATATTCTGTTTTCAAGTGTTTTAGAGCTCTGTTCACCCTAAGAATTTTGGAAATGGATCACAGTAAAATAATGAGTTTGGGTTCATAGAGGAGTATCTTAGCTGCAATATTAGTTAGTGCCAGAAAAATAAACAAGGGAAGAAGTATGTTGATTATTAAGTGTCGAGAGTAAGCCAATTCCAGGGAGTCAGTTTCACACTTAAAATGGCCTTTGTTGGTCCATCGCATGCAATTGCACGGGACTCATAACCTGCCCTGTCTTCTATATAATCCAGCATTTGTTGTTATTCTTCTTGAAAGAATAGTTTTTGTTATTTTTTATATTGAAAAACATCCAATTAAAATATAAAATTTCTAGAATATTCATAACCCATGAATGGCTCAACTAAAATATCGCCCATAAATTCAAAACGTGGACCATGTAAACTATTTTGACATTAAACAATTCAAATATGATAATTTGATTTCGAGAACAATCTACATATTAAATATATATTAGTAAACATAACCATGGCCATAAATTCAAAAAAAAATCTAAAATAAATCGATTTTAACATCAGTAAATCATATTATTAGAAGCTCAAAAATCCTTTGTAAATCAAAATTATCAAGTGTCTTGATCAAATTTGAACATCATATTTTTTGGGCCCGAAAATTTTGAACATTATATAAATTTGAAGGCAAAATATTATACTTTAAACTACAACTTAGGTCTTCATCGATATTAAATACCGAAAGTAGTATAATTGACAGAATCATTCAAAATGAACTACTTAAAAAGGTTATCTTGATGACGTGATTGAAGTAAACCCATGTAAAGTCGTATTCTCTTTATTATCCGAAGATTGAAAGCAACAAATTTTATCTAAACATGGACCATGATACGATTTTTCTGATCTAAGGGAGCAATACAATCGTTGCATCGTTGTCTATCACAAAACTTGTCAACTTTCATCCACTCATCCAGCTAGGAAAATCACTGTAACCCCAATAATTGATGCCTATGCCCCAGTAAGACACTTGTGTTTGGAGCCTGTCCTCTACGCCGCAGATGCTTGTTCTTCAGAGAAAATAAACAGTACGATGGCATATGATCCAAAGGTAACAAGAACCTTTAAAATCTAACACGACATTAACATGGGAATATTTACATCAAAAAAAAGTCAGCAAAAATTAAAAGCACCACGGAGAAGATAACATTACAAATGACTGTACCCCACCACAAGCATCATATACGTAAACATGTACATAGTGGGGACAAAATGCCATTGCATTTTATTTGCGAGGACTAGCTCAGCTCTCCCATCCAGCCAGATCGATTTCTCATCCCACCATTCCATTCAGATCTGTGTCTGATTATAAGAAAATAGTCCAGTTCAGTACACACTAGGTCATGGCATAAACAAATACAGAGGGTAAACTAAGACGTCGTTGAAAAAAATAAATTTAACAGCTCAGAATCCCAGTGTTCGCAGCTAATGACTAATAAAATACATTTAACTTGGCTATTCTGAAGATTCCGTCAGAAAAATTAACACATGGAATTGACCCAGAGCACCAGCAAAAGATTCTCAAAAAGGAAAAAAAATTGCAGTGAATAGTCAATGTTCATGGAAGATGAAAATGACCGGCACCCTTTCCAACATTATCAACATATGCAATTAAACTTTTAAGAAAACATTTTATCACTGGCCATGAAGGCGGCTCGCCTCACCTCTCTGCAATATATGCACAGGCACTCTGTCTAGTTAGAAATATTAAAACTAATATGGCCAACAAAGAGACAAAAGTGTACTAATGTTTTGAAAGTGACTCCTTGAATGCAGGGATGAGAGAGTGACCGAAGAAACCCTCAGAATTTCCAATATTGCATGTCATACCACTCCTTCTCCTTGAATGTCATTCATTCCTGGTAATTATCCCTCTTTATGGTTTGGAAGGCGAATTCGAAGGATTTCTCAAACAAGCAACCGGGGTGATGCAATCATGCAACCAGAAG